AGAGAAATTGCTGCAGCTACATATATTTTACATCCTGGCCCTACATAGTTCACTATTTGCATCACTTACCAAAATATTACATGTGGTCATATATGCTTGGAAAGTGGAGATGCCATAGAACGTCAAAAAAGTAAACATTGCTGGAGACACATTGTCGTTTTGGAGAAGACATCGCGTTTGCTAGCGAAGAGATTTGTTGTGGCAAATGAACTTGGCCTGGGAATTGCCAGGAACCTCACGATAAGATATATGCATCAGCATTGCGAGTCTCATGATTCTATACGTATTGCGATTCGATACTGTGATTTTATTGCGCACCATATGTCTGTTGCAGAGGGATCAGAAAGCCATGAGAACGAGTTTTGATCAGTCATGGAAATAAAAGTGCTGAAAACTAATTGGCTCCCAATGTGAAAAGATTGAGAACAAGCTATGAAGGAACAATAATGGTGTTTTGGTGCAGGTACAGCCAACTAGCGCTAAAATATTGCGATATTGTCAATACAGTATATCGTAAAGTATCACTATGTAACTCGATTTCTTTCACCCCAATCCCTCAAATTAACGGTAAATAACTGAATTGTTTGCCCCACATTTAGCTAAGATGATTAGCTAGCCAGCTAAAATGTTTTATTTAGTTAGCAGTCGCATCTACAATAGTTTACTGTCAATAACATGTCTCCAAAAATGACGTGGTGTCTCCAATTGTGTTGACATTTTACAATTGCAATGCGCATCCATGAGTATCCACTTTCTGTAGCTCAGCTGGTAGAGCATGGTGCTTGTAACGCCAAGGTAGTGGGTTCGATCCCCGGGACCACCCATACACAAAAATGTATGCACGCATGACTGTAAGTCGCTTTGGATAAAAGCGTCTGCTAAATGGCATATTATTATTATTATTATTATTATTATCTGAAGAGAGCCCCGAAACATTGTGTGCAGACATTTTATGCAATAAATGAAGTAGGTTCAATCTAGTAGTTCTGATCTTCTGATTGGTCCTGATGAGTTGGGCGAGGTCACCTCCAGGCTACTGTCACTGTTGCATTGGCTCTGAGTCGGGTTCTCTGTCTTCAAATGTTCAGCCTAAGAGAGGGGATTTTGTGTGTGTGTGTGTGTGTGTGTTTAACAGTGATGATGTGTGTGTGTGTGTGTGTGTTTAACAGTGATGATGTGTGTGTGTGTGTTTGTGTGTGTGTGTGTCCTCAGAGCAAGAACTCGTGAGTTGGAAGAACTGAGAGGCCTATGGCGTGGGTGTTGTCCTTGGCCACCTGCTGACAAGGCTGACAAGATAGGACCCTTTTGTCCATTGTTATTGGATAGGAACAGAACTTATAACCAGCTCCTGACCTAAATAGATCTTAGCACAACATTTTACTCAACATATCATATTCCATATTCACTATAACAAATATATTTACTACGACATTAGCAAGAACCGCCACATCCTCAGCCGGCTAATCCAGTGTGTGAAGTTTTGCGGAGTGTTTGAGTTAGCTTTGCGAGGCAAAGATGAAACTGAGGGCTCCACCAACCCTGGTAAGCCAACACTTTTGAGATCAGTCAATAAATGCTTCTGGTATTGACTTATATGCTGCCCCTGTCTTCATGTTGTTGCTGGACATATCTTTTTTTTAAATGTGTGTAGGTCACCTAAATCATCAGAAAAATTGCCCCTCCTGAGAATTTTTTCAGGAGCCGCCACTGTTGAATACATGTGAGGATCTTAGATGTTTTTGTTTATTTCGTTGATGCTTAGGGACAGGGAGTCTAGGCAGGGAGAGGTCCACTATAGGGTCCAATGGGTTGACCAGCCTTAGAGTGGATATTTTTTGGATAGGATTTTGTTTGCAGGGGCTTACATGTGTATTTAATTGCATCATAGTTTCAAATGCATTTACATTGTTTATGAGTTTATCTGGAGTACCGAGGTGGTTGCCTGGGGCAGAGGGACCGTGAGAGAATTTTACTGTCTTGATTGATGGATGGATTTGGAACGAAGGTTGCCGGACAGTTTTTCGCTCTTACACTCCATAAAGATTTGTTCATATTTCATAGTAATGTATACACACTCCATAAAGATTTGTTCATATTTCATAGTAATGTATTCACACTTCATAAACAGTTATTCATATTTCATAGTAATGTATTCACACTTCATAAACAGTTATTCATATTTCATAGAAAGGTATATACACTCTAGAGGATAATGTTTTTGGTTTAATGTTAAAGATACTCAATAAGATAAATTGTTACTTGTCATAATCCTATTCTGTTTGTTTTCGAGACTTTTAGTTCGTCTCGAAGGGGGGAAATGTCGTGTATTAGGATTATGCCTTTGTTAAATGTTTTTATGATCTTAGTTCAAATGTAGCCGTTTGGAGGGTGACGCCCCAGGGGAGACTGGTGATTGGCCAGAAGAGGGAAAACCCATCTTTTTGCATTGTTTATAAGTAGGGGCTAGACCAAGAGAGGGCAGAGCGGCCATTGCAATCTGAGGCGTCGCTCTCCGGGTGGTCATGACATCTGTCACTTATGCTGTAAACGTGTGATATTAATATAAGCCTCTAATCACAGTGCAGCCTAAGCGGACTCCTTGTTGACAGCAATAATTGCCAGCATTCACCCGATACGACACACCCACACTGCGTCTCACAAAGCCACAGTGGTTGGAACCAAAAATCTCAAATTTGGACTCCAGACCAAGGGACACATTTCCAACGGTCTAATGTCCATTGCTCGTGTTTCTTGGCCCAAGGAGGTCTCTTCTTATTATTGGTGTCCTTTAGTAGTGGTTTCTTTGCAGCAATTTGACCATGAAGGCCTGATTCACACAGTCCTCTCTGAACAGTTGATGTTGAGATGTGTCTGTGACTTGAACTCTATGAAGCATTTATTTGGGCTGCAATTTCTGAGGCTGGTAACTCTAATGAACTTATCCTCTGCAGCAGAGGTAACTCTGGGTCTTCCATTCCTGTGGCGGTCCTCATGAGAGCCAGTTTCATCATAGCGCTTGATGGTTTTTGCGACTGCACTTGAAGAAACGTTCAAAGTTCTTGAAATTATCCGTATTGACTGACCTTCATGTCTTAAACTAATGATGGACTGTCGTTTCTCTTTGCTTATTTGAGCTGTTCTTGCCATAATATGGACTTGGTCTTTTACCAAATAGGGCTATCTTCTGTATACCCCCCTACCTTGTCACAACACAACTGATTGGCTCAAACGCATTAAGAAGGAAAGAAATTCCACAAATTAACTTTTAACAAGGCACACCAGTTAATTGAAATGCATTCCAGGTGACTACCTCATGAAGCGGGTTGAGAGAATGCCAAGAGTGTGCAAAGCTGTCATCAAAGCAAAGGGTGGCTATTTTGAAGAATCTCAAATATAATATATATTTTTATTTGTTTAACACTTCTTTGCTTACTACATGATTCCATATGTGTTATTTCATAGTTGTGATGTCTTCACTATTATTCTACAATGTAAAAACATTGACTGGTAGTGTAGGTGAGACAACCACATATCACAATCATAGCAGCTATCAGCAAAGTCAGTGCTAGTAAGAAAATACAAAGTGTTAGTGCAAGGAACACAAGGGTGTAGCCTAACATTTCAAAATGAGTAGAGACATGGCAGTTTGCAACGACAGTCATTGTAGCAGAGCTCTTTGAATGATTTTCTAAACAAAATGGAGGCTTTCAAAATTACCATGGCCTGTAGCTGATCCGGCTAGGCTAATTTAATAGTGCACACTGCACATCATCATTGGTGTAATGTTATTCATGATTCATTCTAATGGTGATGGCGTGTAGCCTATGATGCTTGGTAACAAGCCAAACAAGTCAACAATTTAATACAGGTGGGGGGGTGGGGGGATGGGGAGGGGGATGCGCACACATGCAGATCTTGCACATCTAGCATTCCAGTGTTAATACGAAATTGTAACTATTTTGCACTATAGCCTATTTATTGCCTTACCTCCATAACTTGCTACATTTGCACACACTGTATATATATTTTCTGTTTGTATTTTTGACTTTATGTTTTGTTTTACCCCATATGTAACTCTGTGTTGTTGTTTTTATCGCACAGCTTTGATTTATCTTGGCCAGGTCGTAGTTGTAAATGAGAACTTGTTCTCAACTGGCTTACCTGGTTAAATAAAGGTTAAATAAAAAAACATTAAAAAAAACACACATGCAGTAAATATTGTGTCTATACAATAGAAATAAGGCAGTAAATATTGCTTCTATATATATTGGTACAATATATTCCTCAATCAATGGCAGTTCGGCTAATATAGCTGTACATGTTGTTTGATTTGCTTCGTATTGAGCTTATAGTCTACCAGTGGAGGCTGCTGAGGGGAGGACGGCTCCTAATAGTAATGGCTGGAATGGCGTCAATAGAATGGCATCAACCACATCAAACACGTGGTTTCCATGGTTTCCATGTGGTTGATACCATTCCACTGACTCCATTCCAGACATTACTATGAGCCGTCCTCCACTGTAGCCTAGTAAGGATTCAGCGTCACGAGGATTCATAAGGATTGCTACAGAATCCAAAGGATTAGAATGTGATGGGAGACGTGGAGATGTTTCACCAACCTTCTGCTTTGTTCCATTTTAGTTTGGTAGATGTCCAACAAAATAATCCTCACACTGAGGCCAGGATTTAATCTGATCGCGCTTTGTCGGCTATGCACCTTTTAAAGGCATTCATGGGAGACCACTTCAACGGTAAACGCTGCATATGTCCACTCAATCGGAAATTACCTTTAAATGGCACATACAGTAGCCTAGCCGACAAAGTGTGATCGGATTGAATCCTGGCCTTAAGCTGCTTGTCACCTTGTGTTCTTTGGAAGACCAGATTTGAAGTATCACTTGTTTAAAAAATAAATAAACACAAACAGTTGAGAATCTGTTGCAATGCAAAGGGTTATGGGTCATGTTTGGGTTATGCATGTTCCCCACAGGGGGGCCATTTTAGACTATGGCTCTGAAGAGAAATGAGAAGGATGCTCCCAGAGCCAAACCCAGGGACAGGAAGAAGGCCATGATGGCACCAGCCGTCTCCGCCTCATGAGGAGCAACTAATCTGGGGAGAGAGAGAGAGCGAGAGAAAGGGAGAGAGAGAGAGAGAGAGAGAGAGAGAGAGAGAGAGAGAGAGAGAGAGAGAGAGAGAGAGAGAGAGAACGAGAGAGAGAGAACGAGAGAGAGAGAATGAGAGAGCGAGAGCGAGAGCGAGTGCAATAAATGACACCTTACGCAATTACTTGTACCGTGTGTAAGGTTAGTGTAGGCCTAAATCACTCTGCATATTATAATTTTACTCAAACCATCTATGTTAAATGTTAGTTAGCGTTGCAAAACGGTTAGTTAATTGTGAGAGGAAAATGTCACCCTTGAAAGTTTCAAATCTATCTGGGTTTGCGCCCAGGCGAAGAAGGCAAGAGGTCTTACTTGGGCCCGAAGCACATGCAGAGGCTGGCCAGGTATCCACTGGAGAAGGCGAAGAGGATCATAAACACGATGAACCAGGCGTCGTGTTGAAACACCACAGGCAGCTTGTAGCGGGGCTGAACGTTGCACAGCATGAAGAGAGGCACGAAGATCACACGGGCCACCATAAAAATGGGCACCAGTTTGCTGTACTTCCCAGGCTGAAAGTGGATGGCAGAGAAAGAGATGTCAACACTACTGTAGTAACCACACATAGCCCATGCACATTCGATGACATGCACTAGTACAGTGATAGTGCCAAGGCTAAGTGATAGTGCTAAGGGCAAGGCTAAGGGATAGTGCTAAGGCTAAGGGATAGTGATAAGGCTAAGGGTAGTGCAAAGGCTAAGGGTAGTGCTAAGACTAAGGGATAGTGCTAAGGCTAAGGGTAGTGCTAAGACTAAGGGATAGTGCTAAGGCTAAGGGTAGTGCTAAGACTAAGTGATAGTGCTAAGGCTAAGGGATAGTGCTAAGCCTAAGTGATAGTGCTAAGGCTAAGTGATAGTGCTAAGGCTAAGTGATAGTGCTAAGGCTAAGTGATAGTGCTAAGGCTAAGTGATAGTGCTAAGGCTAAGGGTAGTGCTAAGGCTAAGGGATAGTGCTAAGGCTAAGGGATAGTGCTAAGGCTAAGTGATATTGCTAAGGCTAAGTGATAGTGCTAAGGCTAAGGGTAGTGCTAAGGCTAAGTGATAGTGCTAAGGCTAAGTGATATTGCTAATGCTAAGTGATAGTGCTAAGGCTAAGTGATATTGCTAGGGCTAAGTGATAGTGCTAAGGCTAAGGGTAGTGCTAAGGCTAAGTGATATTGCTAAGGCTAAGTGTTAGTGCCAAGGCTAAGTGTTAGTGCCAAGGCTAAGTGATAAGTGCTTTATTCGATAGAAGATGAAGTTACAACTTAAATTCACATTCAATAAAAACATTGTATGTTTAATAAAACGTTACTGCCATGTTTGTTTTAATTAAGTTGGTTGTAAAATTCATAGAAATTGGATTGATACATGCATCACATTCCCAACGTCACCTCAAGATAAGTAAGTAGATAAGATGCTAAAGGTATTTATCTTAAGTTCAAGGTAGTTCAAAGTTGATTTTGATTTTTTTGTCTCCTAAAAAACAATGGTAAATGTACCATGCCAGTAAAGGCTTATGGGTAACCTCTACTGGTAAATGTACCATGCCAGTAAAGGCTTATGGGTAACCTCTACTGGTAAATGTACCATGCCAGTAAAGGCTTATGGGTAACCTCTACTGTTCTGTTCCTGTGAGTTGGAATCCTTAGTTCACAATATCCAAAATTCAAATAAGTATCAGTTAGTTTCAGGCATATTCATTCAAATGGGCCAATTCCGTCCAATCTGTAACAAGGGTTTTGTTGCTGACTTACCCACACACACACAGCAGTAAGGCTTCTCCCAGCCCAGTCGCTCAGGTTAAAGAGCAGGAAACAACACACGGGGATGAAGTACATCTCTGAGAGGAGAGGGTAACGTACAATGACACACATTATCAGTGAATATGGTCATTTTGTAAAGGCTTGTAAATCGACCAGAGTATGTAAGTATACTCTAAAATGGACACATAAACCCATGCTATTATCATAGATATTCATACACACACACACACACACACACACCCCAGGCGCCTCCACCAGCGATGGTAGACTTGACATCCACAGTGACTGCAGGGTAGACGCCGATGGTGACGGTGAAGGCAAAACATGCAGAGAGAGCCAGGACCCATATCTACAGTTAAAGGGTCAAAAAGGTCAAGAAGAAAGCACTTTAGATCACCTATTTAGAGAGTTGGGGACCATAGAAATATAATTAACGTTCTATTTCTATGGTTGGGACATTGAGGTTTCCGCATTATGATGCATTAACGTGACACTACAACATTCTATGGCAGCCATGTTAGTGCCCCATTCAACAATAAATGGTGAATATTTCACAATGCTATGTAACTGAATGTCTTGAGAGAAAAAAATACTAACAAGACTAGCTTCGTCTCCAGCCCCCTAAATGGAAACTCTTAGCCAGTTTCAGTCAAGTTTTTGAACCAGATGTCCCCTCCACTTCCGAAATTAGAAAGATGCGAGCACCTGCCAAATCGTGATTTGTCCAAATGATCAGTAATGAAAAATCCGGCCACCGGAAAAAAAAATTCCTTGTATTTCTCAATGAAAAAAAGTATTCATAATATCTGCACGAACTCTTCCAAACTGTTTCGGCAGGGAAGCATACAGACGCCTTAAATTGTCGCTTCTCCTAGTCTGTTGACAGACTCAACGATAACATACTGTAACGACTCTGGGTTTATAAGTGCGGATATCGACTCTGCCACAAGAGCATGCTTTTGGGGCACAGTCGTTGGCGCGCTGGACTTCGGGCTAGAAGGTTGATGGTTCAAGACCTGCTCCCTGCCTGTTTCATTACAATACAGTATGTATACAGTTACGTCCGTTTGTCCACGAGAGATTCCTTCAACCCAGGAGAAAGAGAAGTATGCGGGTAGGTACCGTGAATAATATCAAAAGTGTGACTCTTTAGTTTAGAGATCTAAGTAATGGAAAAACGATTATTTAAAAAGTATGTATTGCTATGGTGTGTTTTATAATCTATTTTAAATACCTACAGTATTTAAAAGTGAATTGGTTTTCATTGTTTTTCCAATTCATAAAGTGAATTGAAATTCATGAAATATTTGTATCTTTCTCCACAAACTCTTAATATGCTGTAAATGTGACTGGTCATTCGACATGCTGGAGACCGCTAAACTAACTTGTAATTGTTTATCGATTAGAGATAAGTGTCTGCAAAGGTGTCTCTAAAATGATGTAATGTAGTGTTTTGTATTTGCTTTTAATGCGCAGTAACGATTTTCAGTTCATGAATAGAATTTCAATTAATCTCCTGAATTGTTTTAGGTCGGGATTTAATCCGTGCTATAACAAATGTTTTAATTTACGGTTGAGCCAACATGTGCCAGAGTTTACAATGAATGCGATCTCCACGAACATCTGAGAAAAGGTCTTTAAAAGCCTAGTTGTGGGCTGTCTAGTGTCCTGAACTATAGCGCGCCATGGATTGAACCCCGGCCTCAATCTAAAAAATAATTCTGGCATACCTTCTTGAAGATGGTCAACATGGACACGGTTTGTTCTCCTTCTCCTTGGTTGAGAACTGCAGCATTTTCTGAAGGGGTAAGGAACGAGGTATTGCTATCTTCCATGATCGTTAAAATAGGTAGCCTAATACAAATGTTTGAATTAAAATATATTCAACAGGTGGCCAAGTTTATGCATAGCTTGGATTTACTTTTCCATACATAAAAAAATGACAATTATCTTTCTCTTATTTCTACATTGAATATTTTCACAAATCTGACAATCATAAATGGCTTTCATTTTACCTTCCAGCCTGTTCATCTCGTTACTAAGCCTGTTCCCACTTCGGCTCTTGTTGTAATATTGGTAGAACTCCTAATAGTAAGGTTCAGAACAACACGAAAGTACCGTCAATTATCTCACACTCTCTAGGGATGTTAACGAAACAGAAGAGATGAACAGGAATGGCTGGAATGGAAGTATTACACATATTTGTTTTTGCTTTGAACGACAGACATTTATACACTGGTATATGAATAAGTGATGAATGAAAAGGGGGAGGAAGTATTAGTTGATTATGAAGTATTAGTTGATTATGAAGTATTGGTTGATTATGAGGTATTGGTTGCATTATGAAGTATTAGTTGCATTATGTATTATCATCAAGTAGCATCTCCTAACCCCCTTCTCCGTCAAATATATGTTTTAATAACATTTAAAATCTAGAGTTTATTACCAGTTTAGGGAGGACCACATATGACATTATGGCCAATATGATCACTACACAGGCTGTGATGAAGTATCCAAAAGCAGCATCACTTAGTGCTGAGCCACCTGGGGGGTGGGAAAGGGGGGGGAGAAAGAGAGAGAAACTTCCCTTGTACAGCCATATCAAAAGTAATACAATTTTCTGTTATAACAACATGTACATATACCAAAGGAGTCTATAAATTCATTTCTTAGAAATATTAATACTTTTTTTAATCATATTTTTTATCACTCTCTTGCCTCAACTGTGTTTTGTGGAGGTGAACTTTATTATTTTACTTTATTCTAAAGCATTAGTAGTAAAAATGTAAAAACATGTATTTCTTATATATATATATATATATATACACAGTTGAAGTCGGAAGTTTACATACACCTTAGCCAAATACATTTAAACTCAGTTTTTCTCAATTCCTGACATTTAATCCTAGTAAAAATTCCCTGTCTTAGGTCAGTTAGGATATCCACTTTATTTTAAGACTGTGAAATGTCAGAATAATAGTAGAGAGAATGATTTATTTCAGCTTTTATTTCTTTCATCACATTCCCAGTGGGTCAGAAGTTCACATACACTCAATTAGTATTTGGTAGCATTGCCTTTACATTATTTAACTAGGGTCAAACGTTTCGGGTAGCTTTCCACAAGCTTCCCACAATAAGTTGGGTGAATTTTGGCCCATTCCTCCTGACAGAGCTGGTGTAACTGAGTCAAGTTTGTAGGCCTCCTTGCTCGCACACGCTTTTTCAGTTCTGCCCACTAATTTTCTATAGGATTGAGGTCAGGGCTTTGTGATGGCCACTCCAATACCTTGACTTTGTCATCCTTAAGCCATTTTGCCACAACTTTGGAAGTATGCTTGGGGTCATTGTCCATTTGAAAGACCCATTTGCGACCAAGCTTTAACTTCCTGACTGATGTCTTGAGATGTTGCTTCAATATATCCACATAATTTTCCTTCCTCATGATGCCATCTATTTTGTGAAGTGCACCAGTCCCTCCTGCAGCAAAGCACCCCCACAGCATGATGCTGCCACCCCTGTGCTTCACAGTTGGGATGGTGTTCTTCGGCTTGCAAGCAACCGCCTTTTTCCTCCAAACATAACAATGGTCATTATGGCCAAAGAGTTCTATTTTGGTTTAATCAGATCAGAGGACATTTCTCCAAAAAGTACAATTTTTGTCCCCATGTGCAGTTGCAAACCGTAGTCTGGCTTTTTTATGGCGGTTTTGGAGCAGTGGCTTCTTTCTTGCTGAGCGGCCTTTCAGGTTATGCCGATATAGGACTCGTTTTACTGTGGATATAGATACTTTTGTACATGTTTCCTCCAGCATCTTCACAAGGTCCTTTGCTGTTGTTCTGGGATTGATTTGCACTTTTCGCACCAAATTACGTTCATCTCTAGGAGACAGAACGCGTCTCCTTCCTGAGCGGTATGACGGCTGCGTGGTCCCATGGTGTTTATACTTGCGTACTATTGTTTGTACAGATGATCGTGGTACCTTCAGGCGTTTGGAAATTGCTCCCAAGGATGAACCAGACTTATGGTTTTTTTCTGCGGTCTTGGCTGATTTCTTTTGTTTTTCCCATTATGTCAAGCAAAGAGACACTGAGTTTGAAGGTAGGCCTTGAAATACATCCACAGGTTCACCTCCAATTGACTCAAATGATGTCAATAAGCCTATCAGAAGCTTCTAAAGCCATGACATCATTTTCTGGAATTTTCCAAGCTGTTTAAAGGCACAGTCAACTTAGTGTATGTAAACTATTGACCCACTGGAATTGTGATACAGTGAATTATAAGTGAAATAATCTGTCTGTAAACAATTGTTGGAAAAATAACTTGTGTCATGCACAAAGTAGATGTCCTAACCGACTTGCCAGACGTACTTGCGATAGCACAGATCATGGAGAAGGCAGCGAAAGTGCCCGCCAGACCTTGCCCACTCATAATGGGCGTGGTGTATTTGGCGGGCAGAAGCCCTGCCATGCCAAACAGACTGCCCTGCAGGATAGCGCCAAAGGCTGATGGAAGGTAAAAAACCCCAAAAAAAACACAGTCAATAAGACAGTCCAGTCATCCCAACATGAAGCTATCATTTAACATGCAGTTTGAGTGTTCAATAATCTTACTTCTTTCAAACTTTCAAACTTCTTTGAAGCAGTCTAAAATACATTTGGGTTACAGATAATTACTGCATTTGTCTTCTTGGCAGCTGAATGAATAAGAGCGTCTGCTAAATTAGTGGTTCCCAAACTTTTTCACGCCCCCACCCCCTGCAATTGTACACATTTTGTCATGGGGTGCAAAGAAAATGTTGCCGTTTTAAAGCAAATTTTCTTGCAATTCTATAAATTTTGCCATGTCTAATGTGTATTCATGTGATAACTGAGTGACTAAAATATTACAACAATATCTATGGGCTAAATAACCAGAATAAAAAAACAGCTAGTTGATCTGGACATCTCTGATGATGCACTGCCCAATTTCGAAATTGGACACCTTGTGCATTCTACTATTACAACTTTCAAGAATAAGTTTAAAGCCGGACTGAGTTCCTTAAAAAATATATATATACAGTACCAGTCAAAAGTTTGGACACACCTACTCATTCAAGGGTTTTTCTTTATTTTTACTATTTTCTACATTGTAGAATAATAGTGAAGACATCAAAACTATGAAATAACATACGGAATCATTTAGTAGCCCAAAAATGTGTTAAACAAATCAAAATATATTTTATATTTGAGATTGATGACAGCTTTGCACACTCTTGGCATTCTCTCAGCTTCACCTGGAATGCTTTTCAAACAGTCTTGAAGGAGTTCCCACATACAGTGGGGAAAAAAAGTATTTAGTCAGCCACCAATTGTGCAAGTTCTCCCACTTAAAAAGATGAGAGAGGCCTGTAATTTTCATCATAGGTACACGTCAACTATGACAGACAAAATGAGAAAAAAAAATCCAGAAAATCACATTGTAGGATTTTTAATGAATTTATTGGCAAATGATGGTGGAAAATAAGTATTTGGTCGATAACAAAAGTTTCTCAATACTTTGTTATATACCCTTTGTTGGCAATGACACAGGTCAAACGTTTTCTGTAAGTCTTCACAAGGTTTTCACACACTGTTGCTTGTATTTTGGCCCATTCCTCCATGCAGATCTCCTCTAGAGCAGTGATGTTTTGGGGCTGTCGCTGGGCAACACAGACTTTCAACTCCCTCCAAAGATTTTCTATGGGGTTGAGATCTGGAGACTGGCTAGGCCACTCCAGGACCTTGAAATGCTTCTTATGAAGCCACTCCTTCGTTGCCCGGGCGGTGTGTTTGGGATCATTGTCATGCTGAAAGACCCAGCCACGTTTCATCTTCAATGCCCTTGCTGATGGAAGGAGGTTTTCACTCAAAATCTCACGATACATGGCCCCATTCATTCTTTCCTTACACGGATCAGTCGTCCTGGTCCCTTTGCAGAAAAACAGCCCAAAAGCATGATGTTTCCACCCCAATGCTTCACAGTAGGTATGGTGTTCTTTGGATGCAACTCAGCATTCTTTGTCCTCCAAACATGACGAGTTGAGTTTTTACCAAAAAGTTATATTTTGGTTTCATCTGACCATATGACATTCTCCCAATCCTCTTCTGGATCATCCAAATGCACTTCAGACGGGCCTGGACATGTACTGGCTTAAGCAGGGGGACACGTCTCGCACTTCAGGATTTGAGTCCCTGGCGGCGTAGTGTGTTACTGATGGTAGGCTTTGTTACTTTGGTCCCAGCTCTCTGCAGGTCATTCACTAGGCCCCCCCGTGTGGTTCTGGGATTTTTGCTCACCGTTCTTGTGATCATTTTGACCCCACGGGTTGAGATCTTGCGTGGAGCCCCAGATTGAGGGAGATTATCAGTGGTCTTGTATGTCTTCCATTTCCTAATAATTGCTCCCACAGTTGATTTCTTCAAACCAAGCTGCTTACCTATTGCAGATTCAGTCTTCCCAGCCTAGTGCAAGTCTACAATTTTGTTTCTGGTGTCCTTTGACAGCTCTTTGGTCTTGGCCATTGTGGAGTTTGGAGTGTGACTGTTTGAGTTTGTGGACAGGTGTCTTTTATACTGATAACAAGTTCAAACAGGTGCTATTAATACAGGTAACGAGTGGAGGACAGAGGAGCCTCTTAAAGAAGAAGTTACAGGTCTGTGAGAGCCAGAAATCTTGCTTGTTTGTAGGTGACCAAATACTTATTTTCCACCATAATTTGCAAATAAATTCATTAAAAATCCTACAATGGGATTTTCTGGATTTTTTTTCCTCAATTTGTCTGTCATAGTTGACGTGTACCTATGATGAAAATTACAGGCCTCTCTCATCTTTTTAAGTGGGAGAACTTGCACAATTGGTGGCTGACTAAATACTTTTTTTCCCCACTGTATGCTGACCACTTGTTGGCTGCTTTTCCTTCAGTCTGCCATCCGATTCATCCCAAACCATCTCAATTGGGCAGAGGTCGGGGGATTGTGGAGGCCAGGTCATCTGATGCAGCACTCCATCACTCTCCTTGGGTCTTCCATTCCTGTGGCGGTCCTCATGAGAGCCAGTTTAAATATAGCGCTTGATGGTTTTTGCGACAGCACTTTAAGAAACGTTCAAAGTTCTTGACATTTTCCGTATTGACTGGCCTTCATGTCTTAAAGTAATGATAGACTGTCGTTTCTCCTTGCTTATTTGAGCTGTTCTTGCCATAATATGGACTTGGTCTTTTACCAAATAGGGCTATATTCTGTATACCCCACCTACCTTGTCACAACACAACTGATTGGCTCAAACGAAATTAAGAAGGAAAGAAATTCCCCAAATTAACTTTTAAGAAGGCACACCTGTTAATTGAAATGCATTCCAGGTGACTACCTCATGAAGCTGGTTGAGAGAATGCCAAGAGTGTGCAAAGCTGTCATCAAGGCAAGGGGTGGCTATTTGAAGAATCTCAAATATAAAATATATTATATTATTATGAAGAGTGCCTTGGTCCTCCTTTCTTTTTGATGACCAATTCACCCCCTTTGATCAAAGAGCACCTTCTGTCTACCAACATCTACTATTGTGTACCTTAGTAGCGCTTCCCTTCCTCCTCTTCATAAAATATATTTGTTTAACACTTATTTGGTTACTACATGATTCCATATGTGGTATTTCATAGTTCTGATGTCTTCACTACTATTCTACAATGTACAAAAATAGTTTAAAATAAAGAAAAACCCTTGAATGAGTAGGCGTGTCCAAACTTTTGATTGGTGGTCTATGTTGTTTTTGCCCAATCAGGACAACTCAGATGAATTCAAGGGGAAAAAGAATTGACACGTTAAAAAGAAGGAGAAAGGGGCCAAAAACTCACAGTTTATGATAACAATCTTGATCATGGTTAATGTGAAGAAAGGGACCGGTGCCATGTCTATTTTCACCACGATGGCCGTGATAAGAAACAGCACCAAAATCACCGCCAGGCTGCCCATGATCCTGAACCTTTGAGGAATCCTGGGAGTTAAGAGAGTCGGAGTCAAATAATCCGAGGTCAATCTTATGTCGATCACAAGCGGGTCCTGGTACACTTTTAACACTACTGGGCTGAACTGGGCCAAGCTATACAATGAACACTTTATCATATTAGTTTGTCCCCAAAAAATATGAAGATGTAACTTTTTGGAGTAGTGCTTTAATGCATTAGCAAACTCAAGATGTGGGGGGTGAAGTGGTGGGCTAACTAACCTGTGATGCAGGACTGAGTTGAGACAGGTGAAGATCAGTAACGGCACCATTGCACAAAGTGTTGATACGTTGTTGTAACCGGCCTCCATAGGGCTACGGTCGTAGGGTTTGTCGGTTGATATTTGGGTGGGGTCTCTGAGACGGCTGGTAAAATACTGTGGAGAGGGCAGAGGACAGACCCTTAATTTTAGTTCATTGCTAATGTGTGTTGAAAGTTCTGGAGCAATATGGCTGTCGTGCATCACCCAGGTAGGTGCTATCCATTGGTAGTGGATGCAATACAATAATGTATCAAATTTAATGTAGAGCGCTTTATTTACATTAATGTAGAATTATTCTAATAAATAGATAAGGGGGTATCAGTATCTCTGTGAATTATCACAAGCTAATATCAAGACGATCTGGAAAGTAACACTTGAGACATATTTAGAAATGAATACAGACTGAATACAGACGTCTCGCTAAAAGCTCTGGCATTGTATTTCTGGCATGTATTATTTTATTGTTCACTCTGAAAGTAGATGATAAGAGCAGATGCTGTGCGCTACCATAGTGGCTGTCATGAAGAAGTTCCATGGCAGGAGAGTTCCTAAGCCCAGCATGAAAAAGATCAGCCACACGCCATTGTTTCTGTTGGACGACAGAGGAGAGGAAGCAACTGTTACCCAGTTTATTTGTATGGTTAATTTGACAATAAATACCATATTCATTTTTACGTAGTATGTAGGGCCACAAAAAAATTACAAGGTAAAATGGTAATTACTTGACTAGATGTTATATTACATTTGGGATTCAATTAAGCAAATTCCAATCCTTTCTGTAGGACAAGGTGTGACCACTGGGGGGGGGTTATAACCCTGGACGCCTGTCTGGCCTCCAGGTGAGTACTCTAACCACTGTCCCTAAAGAGTTAACTCCCTTGGGGGAAGCTCGTGACACACTTTACATTTTAGTCATTTTTAGTCATTTAGCAGACGCTCTTATCCAGAAACGCCATGCTCTACCAACTGAGCTACACGGGACTACGACTTCCAATCCAAAGGCTAACCTAACGGTTAAATTACCATTTGGTGCGTGTTACAATTTAATTTGCAAGTAACCATATAAAGAGGGACTAGCCAGAGGTTCACAGAAACTAGATACTGTCTCTAAAATTGTGAAGATGTCACCATACAAAGTGAACACAAAGAGGCTCCTACTCACTTGTCTTTAGGCTCATGGACATCCATTGTTTGTCTTCAGTGATTACTGTCTATCACACTTTTCCACAGCTCTGCACAAAACCTGAAAGAAATAGGATGGATTTAAACACATCATGTATTTTCCCTTCAGTCATGTCGAGGAATTACAACAAAACAAACCACAATGATTGCAGAATTCAACCACTTCAGAAAACAATGACCTAGACTAGAGGGGTTTAGGGAATAACACTGGGTAGTGGAATTACAATTCTACCATTGCAGTCTGTCTGTCTGTCTGTAGGCTACTATTCATTATGGTTATCTAAAATGATTGCTCTCTAGTGGTTGTTATAGATAAAGGAAACTAGGCCCAGTTACATTTCTGAGCATCCTTCACAATGGCTTAGTTTACACAGGCAGACAAATTCTGATCTTTTGCCTAATTATCTGATTGGTAAAAAGACTAATACGTGAAAAATATCAGAATTGGGCTGCCTTTGTAAACACAGCCATATGTGTTTCCCAAACTGTGGTAATGTCACAGGACCAGATCCGGTGCCCAGAATTTCACAAGTGATCTTGGAAAGAACCTGTGATTGCGCATTTGCCTGATTGTAAGTCAGGACAAGGTTGTCTACTAAATGATGAAAATGTAAATATACAATTGTGGGTAGGCTACCATTTAGGCAATAGCAAAGAGCTCAGCAGATATGTCCTGCATTATTTAGACCCAATTAAATGAAGATATTGTACAAAAACACACTGTTACTCTTCCTCACAAAATATGATTGAGGGTTAAAAGGAGAACCACTTGAGTTCCAGCTGAAGATAAATACTAATAAAAAGGAGGAACATTTGGGAAAGATCCTTCTGATGAAAAAAAAAACCCAACAGGTAATTAAATACAAAAATATATATGTTTTTTTAGGGTCCCACTTATTACATAACTAAGGTACATATTTAGTGTCAGCAATAAACATAAAAGGAAGAATGAGCAAACCAACTCTACATGTAGGCTAGTAGGCCTAAACGATGCACATCAGTAGCAGTAGCAGGTGTATGTAGGCTGTAAACTGAGTTTGCTGTAAAAAAAAAAAAAATTGTGAATAAGTGAAAATGGTTGGGTTGCTCATTTGACTTTCCTTTATTTTTGGGCTATTGCTAACGCTAACGGTAGCTTAGTTTTTATATTTACGATAAATGCAAATAAAAAATAAAATAAAAAATGCATGTCCATAAAGCAAATAATACTTAGGCTCCACCAAAAAACAATGCCAACTGCATTTTTCAAATTGGCTGCTGCCTTATGCAATTATTTCACCTAAATGCGATCATAATCTGTCACCCAAAAAGCGATTCTTAATTAACACTTTTAAAAAGCAAAAAAACATTTGGCCGTAGTCTGTAGCCTACCTTTGTTTAAATGTAGAAGCGGGGTAGAAATTAAACTCACCGTCTACAGTAGCGCAGACAGTTTGACAGATTGGTGCGTTTTGACGCAACAATGGGATGACATTAAATATTGATATTCTAGTCGATCACTAGGCACAAAATAAAGAAATAAAATAGGCCTAACTTTACTTTTTCCAGGGGACCTCTACTTAATATATATATAGTAAACATAATATTCACATTCACCCAAGTCAAATTGTATGTAAAGGAAGATATACAAGATAAACGTAGGTCATCATAATTTAATTCAATTTCCAATAAAAGCCATACTGATGACGGTAAGCAACCTCTGTACAAAATAACATTTTGAATCCCTGATTGAGTCGCGACCTCTGTACAAAAATAACATTTTGAATCCCTGATTGAGTCACAACAGTAAAAGACAGAAGTGAAAAGTATCTGTTTCCGATCGATGATCATTCGCTTGAGGTTTGTGCTGTTGCACCACATCGCTCCTAACGCAATATAGCCTTTATTTGAGGAAATGTGGCTCTCTCACAATCCATCCTGTAAAATTAAATCACATAAAGTAGATGTGATCTGGAGCCTGGAGAAATACGTTACATTGTAGTAGTAGGTCTACATATTCCCTGGGGAGAGGACAGGTCAGGCTATGTAAAGAAAACCCTAAACGCCCAGTATGTTTAAATTTGATTATTTATTTGCATGTAAATGCACTAAATTGAGTACCAACACTCAGTATAAATCAAATCAAGTTTAATTAGATCAGTTGAATACAGTGATCACCTTCACCTTTATCACCTTTATAATAGACTCAATCATGGACACTCTTACTGACAGTTGAGGCTGCTTCGCATGATATATTGTTGTCTCTACCTTCTTGCCCTTTGTGCTGTTGTCTGTGCCCAATAATGTTTGTACCATGTTTTGTGCTGCTACCATGTTGTGCTGCAGCCATGTTATGTTGCTGCCATGTTGTTGTCATGTTGTGATGCTACCATGCTGTTTTGTCATGTGTTGCTGCCATGCTATGTTGTTGTCTTAGGTCTCTCTTTATGTTGTGATGTGTTGTCTCTCTTTTCGTGATGTGTGTGTTTTGTCCTATATTTTTATTACATTTTTAATCCCAGCCCCCCTCCCCGCAGGAGGCCTTTTGCCTTTTGCCAGGCCGTCATTGTAAATAACAATTTGTTATTAACTGACTTGCCTAGTTAAATAAAGGTTAAATAAAAATAAATAAAAATAAACTAGCTAAGTATCAATCCAGGCAATGTGATGAGAAATAAAGTGTATTTTTAGTCAATGTGGGGGTGAACAATGAGTATGTTTGTCTACATATAATTGCAATTATGTTACTACATAATTATACACTATCTACTTTAAACGCAAAAAAAATGACAGTAAAAGGTAATTTGTGGAAACACCCGATCAATCAAAGACGCCAAGACAAGACCGTCACATGTCCGGGCTCAGTGGTCACATGTCCGGGCTCAGTGGTCACATGTCCGGGCTCAGTGGTCACATGTCCGGGCTCAGTGGTCACATGTCCGGGCTCAGTGGTCACCTGACGGTGTGGCGTCATATGAACAAAGACAGTATAAAGTCTGACAGAAGCCAAGAGCGACCACTCACAACTAGACCGACAGTCAAATAACCTCGATAGAACAAGAGGAACTTCAAACAGCGCAGTCATGCTGTACCTCGCTCTGCTTTTCGTCTCTGCAGGTAATATGATACAACGTAGAATGTATGATTAGCCACATAATTGTCACTTTGTATCAAAAGTATCGAGGTTACTTTCGTTTTCGTAAACATGTCAGTAGTAATGTCGCTGATACATTTTAAAACCTATTCCGTCACTTTTTGCACATTCGAGATGTGTAACTAACTAACTAGCTAGCTGATGTAGCAGCATTGACTTCGTACTAGCTAGTTAACGTTGGCCTAATCATTGTTGCGTTATGACGCTTCCTAGGGAGGTAACTAACGGCTATTTGGCTATAATAATAATAATAATAATATGCCATTTAGCAGACGCTTTTATCCAAAGCGACTTACAGTCATGCGTGCATACATTTTTGTGTATGGGTGAACCCGGGGATCGAACCCACTACCCTGGCGTTACAAGCGCCGTGCTCTACCAATTGAGCTACAGAGGCTGTCATGTTGATAATTTCTAAAAGCCACCATATATAAATATCAAAGCAGCTCATACTAGCTAATTTTAGCTCAGACATTGGTGTGAAGCATTAGTCAAACATAAACAACATAGTAACTAGCTAGGCCAGTGTATTCTTACACGTTTTTTTTTAAATTTATTTTTATTACAGCTTCCTGCACATATTAATGGAACAATTGTTATATCACCACATATATTATTGTATATCACACACTTTGGGTCAATGTTAACAAATCAAAAAACAGAAGTGTACAGTGAGTCTGTACTCTATCCTTCACGTAGAGAATCTTTAGGGAAACAAAGTATGGTTCTGTTGTCCTCTCAAATCAATCTATCCCTCTAACCTGTTTTCCTGTTCACCGTTCTCTTTTATTTAATGTAGTTTGAAAGACTGAGTGTACTCTTGATGTAGTCCATCCACCACTGAGTCAGCTTTGGACAGGTTTATTTATTTTATTTTATTTCACCCTTTATTTAACCAGGTAAACCAGTTGAGAACAAGTTCTCATTTACAACTGCGACCTGGCCAAGATAAAGCAAAGCAGTGCGATAAAAACAACAACACAGAGTTACATATGGGGTAAAACAAAACAAAGTCAAAAATACAACAGAAATACATATATATACAGTGTGTGCAAATGTAGCAAGTTATGGAGGTAAGGCAATAAATAGGCTATAGTGCAAAATAATTACAATTAGTATTAACACTGGAATGATAGATGTGCAAGAGATGATGTGCAAATAGAGATACTGGGGTACAAATGAGCAAAATAAATAACAATATAGGGATGAGGTAGTTGGGCTGGCTAATTTCAGATGGGCTGTGTACAGGTGCAGTGATCGGTAAGGTGCTCTGACAACTGATGCTTAAAGTTAGTGAGGGAGATAAGTGTCTCCAACTTCAGAGATTTTTGCAACTTGTTCCAGTCATTGGCAGCAGAGAACTGGAAGGAATGGCGGACAAAGGAGGTGTTGGCTTTGGGGATGACCAGTGAGATATACCTGCTGGAGCGCAGACTACGGGTGGGTGTTGCTATGGTGACCAATGAGCTAAGATAAGGCGGGGATTTGCCTAGAAGTGATTTATAGATGGTACAGGTACATGATAGATGGGCCTATCTTTCTCATCGTTCATATCCTCATAGTTCTTTTGCCCAACTACATTCCTAATGCAGCAGTCCCAACAAATGATTGTTGTTGAGACAAAATGGGGACAAAGGGTGTAGGACAGGTAAATCTTCATGGGTGGTTAGGCAGGCTTACGTGAGGGTAGGTGGGTAGGAGGGTAAGCAGGCCTAGGTGAGGGTAGGTGGGTAGGAGGGTAAGCAGGCCTAGGTGAGGGTAGGTGGGTAGGAGGGTAAGCTGGCCTACAGGAAGTGAAAGCTAGTGTGGCTTTATTCGGTAGACGTTTTTTAATTTCTTCTTCTTATGTTCTGTTCTCATGGGGGAATTTATCAGGTTAGGGTTTCACTTCACTTTTTGATCATGCAGATTATTTCTGATTTTAAGTCTACACCGTCAGCAATAGATGTTCGCCTAAACATGTATAATGTTGCTGTTCCATTGTCTATTCCAAGAGGATTGCGATGATTCAGATCCAGAGTCTTTTAGCTGGCGAATACCCAACACGTTCCCTAAATCAATGCAGTCAGTGTGTCACATCCCGTATAGGTCCCCCTGTACATGCTCTGTGCTTAACAAGCAGAACTCACTTCCCCATAGGCCTAATTGGCTAGTATCATTACAATAACTTGGTTGTAGTAAACATGCACAAGCTTGTTACCTTTTTGCTTTAGTGTCCTAGTTTGGTGTGGAGATTGAAGGGTTGCTTGTTGCTGCTCTGTTGTGACAGACAATAGCTAGGCCTATTTATAACTAGCTTGTTCCTTGTTGACTTGGTTTTGGAATGCCCTGTGTGATATGAAATTGTATGATTACTCATAGCGAGTGTCAGTCGTATGATTTCTCATAGTTTGCAGAACTACAGGCTAGGTATCAGTTCCTGCAATACATTTGCTCTTGTGTTCCTCTTTTTTAGTTTTGGGGTCATTTGTAGAGCGTTTAGTTTGCAATGCTGACAGCACAAAATCGACAATCAGTATTAGACTAGTTCTTTGACACACCTTACTTCAATTGGAGTGCTGCTTAAGCATTTGGCTGCACCCGCTTTAACATCCTGCTAAACTGTGTATGCGACTAATAAACTTTGATTTGCCCCCTCTCGTCATCAACGGCTATCAAATGGGCTAACTGTCTCAGTCAGGGGTTTTCTGAGTCAGTAGTCTTTTGTGCTGCTTTGTGCCGTAATGTGATGTTTGATTCACTCCCCGTCTCCCACAGCTGTTAGTGGCGTAGGCTACATGCAGCTCTTAGTGGCGTAGGCTACAAGCAGCTCTTAGTGGCATAGGCTACAAGCAGCTGTTAGTGGCGTAGGCTACAAGCAGCTCTTAGTGGCGTAGGCTACAAGCAGCTCTTAGTGGCGTAGGCTACAAGCAGCTCTTAGTGGCGTAGGCTACAAGCAGCTCTTAGTGGCGTATGCTACAAGCAGCTCTTAGTGGCGTAGGCTACAAGCAGCTGTTAGTGGCGTAGGCTACAAGCAGCTCTTAGTGGCGTAGGCTACAAGCAGCTCTTAGTGGCGTAGGCTACAAGCAGCTCTTAGTGGCGTAGGCTACAAGCAGCTCTTAGTGGCGTAGGCTACAAGCAGCTCTTAGTGGCGTAGGCTACAAGCAGCTGTTAGTGGCGTAGGCTACAAGCAGCTCTTAGTGGCGTAGGCTACAAGCAGCTCTTAGTGGCGTAGGCTACAAGCAGCTCTTAGTGGCGTAGGCTACAAGCAGCTCTTAGTGGCGTAGGCTACAAGCAGCTCTTAGTGGCGTAGGCTACAAGCAGCTCTTAGTGGCGTAGGCTACAAGCAGCTCTTAGTGGCGTAGGCTACAAGCAGCTCTTAGTGGCGTAGGCTACAAGCAGCTCTTAGTGGCGTAGGCTTCAAGCAGCTCTTAGTGGCGTAGGCTTCAAGCAGCTCTTAGTGGCGTAGGCTACAAGCAGCTCTTAGTGGCGTAGGCTACAAGCAGCTCTTAGTGGCGTAGGCTACAAGCAGCTCTTAGTGGCGTAGGCTACAAGCAGCTGTTAGTGGCGTAGGCTACAAGCAGCTCTTAGTGGCGTAGGCTTCAAGCAGCCCTTAGTGGCGTAGGCTACAAGCAGCTCTTAGTGGCGTAGGCTACAAGCAGCTCTTAGTGGCGTAGGCTACAAGCAGCTCTTAGTGGCGTAGGCTACAAGCAGCTGTTAGTGGCGTAGGCTACAAGCAGCTCTTAGTGGCGTAGGCTACAAGCAGCTCTTAGTGGCGTAGGCTACAAGCAGCTCTGGCATTCTATTACTCTTCATCATCAAACCCAAACGTAAGATTGATCACTCGTCACTCGTGTGAGTCGTGAATGGTCCTTAACTTGGCCGGCTGTTTTCACCGGCCCATTCAAAGCCAAGCTGGCCAATAATTCCAATCCTTATGACACTGTTTACTGTAGGCTAAAGTAGCAGCACAGACTCCCGAAAATGTAGCCTGTTTTTGTAATGTTTATCCCCCCCTTGTGATGTTTTCAAAGTAGGTGGTAAAAACGTGAATAGCTATCTATGCTGACTCACTGGCACTGTAACATGTAGCAGAAAGGCTTTGCTCGCTGGAGTCAGTTAGACAATGCTGAAATGTCCTTGTGATGGCTAGGTCCAGCACCTCATTTTGGGCAACAACTAGTTTTTTTTTGTCTGCCTAGTCATGTGACCTGACCACTGAGGAGAAAATTAGGAGGGGGGGGCTCTACCTCTACTGTAGGAAGATGGGAGTGAATGATTGACTCACTGCAGTGTGAAGGTATTATCGATTTAATACGAACATGAGCGATTGTTTCACATTGGGCTGCCTACCACGGCCACAGAGTTCTGGGTTGGGCAGAACCACAGAAGGTTTTGGGGCAGAACCACAGAAGGTTTTGGGGCAGAACCACAGAGGCTTTGGGGCAGAACCACTGAAGGTTTTGGGGCAGAACCACAGAAGGTTTTGGGGCAGAACCACAGAAGGTTTTGGGGCAGAACCACAGAAGGTTTTGGGGCAGAACCACAGAAGGCTTTGGGGCAGAACCACAGAAGGTTTTGACAGCTACTACCTCTCCCCTTCTCGGGAACGTTTCGTGGTTACAAAAACACAGGCCCCGCTCTGTCTGTCATCTCTCTTCAGGCTGTTAATTACAATGACCCACTCCTACGGGTCCAGGCTAACTGGGCGACGTCACCGGGGTTTCTGCTCCGTAATTGTTTTCTTTTGTCACATGAGTAGCTATCTAATCACACTGGTGGTTTATTTGGCAACGGCTGTGCATCCATCAGCTTCTTCGGCACTCCTTCCCTCAGTCAATGCAACATTTGTGCTTACATCCATGAATCTGAACCGTTATATTTTTGTGTCTTCCCTAGGTTTTCTTTTCAAGGCCAACTGTGTGTACACACATACATGTATATGTGTATATATATATATATATATATAATATACTTTTTGTATGTATGTGGACACCCATTCAAATTAGTGGATTCCGCTATTTCAGCCACACCCGTTGCTGACAGGTGTATAAAATCGAGCACACTGCCATGCAATCTCCATAGACAAACATTGGCAGTAGAATGGCCTTACTGAAGAGCTCAGTAACTTTCAACGTGGCACCGTCATAGTCGGCTCGTCAAATTTCTGCCCTGCTAGAGCTGCCCCAGTCAACTGTAAGTGCTGTTATTGGGAAGTGGAAATGTCTAGGAGCAACAACGGCTCAGCCGCGAAGTGGTAGGCCACACAAGCTCACAGAACAGGACCGCCGAGTGCTGAAGCGTGTAGTGCATAAAAATCGTCTGTCCTCAGTTGCAACACTCACTACCGAGTTCCAAACTGCCTCTGGAAGCAACGTCAGCACAATAACTGTTTGTCGGGAGCTTCATGAAATGGGTTTCCATGGCTGAGCAGCCGCACACAAGCCTAAGATCACCATGCGCAATGCTAAGCATTTGCTGGAGTTGTGTAAAGCTCGCCGCCATTGGACTCTGGAATAGTGGAAACGGGGACGAATCTGGGTTTTGCGGATGCCAGGAGAACGCTACCTGCCCCAATAGTGCCAACTGTAAAGTTTGGTGGAGGAGGAATAATGGTCTGGGGTGGTTTTTCATGGTTCAGGGTGTGTGTGTGTGAGAGCAATCCATCCATGACAGACTATGATCCCTTATTGATGTCACTTGTTAAATCCACTTCAATCAGGGTAGATGAAGGGGAGGAGACCGGTTAAATAAGGACTTTTAAGCCTTGAGACATGGATTGTGTATGTGTGCCATTCAGAGGGTGAATGGGAAAGACAAATGATTTAAGTGCCTTTGAACGGGGTATGGTAGTAGGTGCCAGGCGCACCGGTTTGAGTTTGTCAAGAACTCCAAAGCTGCTGGCTTTTTCACGTGCAACAGTTTCCAGTGTGTATCAAGAATGGTCCACCACCCAAAGGACATCCAGCCAACTTGACACAACTGTGGAAAGCATTGGAGTCAACATGGGGCCAGCATCCCTGTGGAGCGCTTTTGACACCTTGTAGAGTCCATGCCCCGACGAATTGAGGCTGTCCTGAAGATAGTTGGTGTTGGGTGCTTTCCACTGTGGTTTCTTGGTAGGATCTGTTTCCATAAAACACAAAGTTCACTATGTTTCGGTTAGATCAGATGAGGAAGCAGGTCTAGTTGGTCTTGGTATTCCCCTTACGAGTCACATGACCCTTCTTTCATTTCCTGTTCTCTGGTTTATTTTTAAGAGAATTGTATTACGTCTGTACTTTCGCCTGCTTGAAAAGGAACTGGTGCTAGGTTACATACCGTGGGCCAATGTCTTCACTCCAACGGCTAGGCCTGAATAGATCCTTCAAACAAATAGGTTGACTTATAAACCAATGACTGTTTTAACATGCACTATGTTTATCCAAGAATGTGTGGGGGCAGTGTCACTTCTGTAACACTTTTTCTGCTACACCAACCAACCGTTTGGGATAGTTGGGTAGGCAGGGAAATCATAGCCGTCGCTACCCCTCTGTTGGGTACTGAACAGTGTGGCTAACGATAGTTTCTAATGGTAGTGTCTCCTCTCTCCTAGCCGTCGCTACCCCTCTGTTGGGTACTGAACAGTGTGGCTAACGATAGTTTCTAATGGTAGTGTCTCCTCTCTCTCCTAGCCGTCGCTACCCCTCTGTTGGGTACTGAACAGTGTGGCTAACGATAGTTTCTAATGGTAGTGTCTCCTCTCTCCTAGCCGTCGCTACCCCTCTGTTGGGTACTGAACAGTGTGGCTAACGATAGTTTCTAATGGTAGTGTCTCCTCTCTCCTAGCCGTCGCTACCCCGCTGTTGGGTACTGAACAGTGTGGCTAACGATAGTTTCTAATGGTAGTGTCTCCTCTCTCCTAGCCGTCGCTACCCCTCTGTTGGGTACTGAACAGTGTGGCTAACGATAGTTTCTAATGGTAGTGTCTCCTCTCTCCTAGCCGTCGCTACCCCGCTGTTGGGTACAGAACAGTGTGGCTAACGATAGTTTCTAATGGTAGTGTCTCCTCTCTCCTAGCCGTCGCCACCCCGCTGTTGGGTACTGAACAGTGTGGCTAACGATAGTTTCTAATGGTAGTGTCTCCTCTCTCCTAGCCGTCGCTACCCCTCTGTTGGTTACTGAACAGTGTGGCTAACGATAGTTTCTAATGGTAGTGTCTCCTCTCTCCTAGCCGTCGCTACCCCCGCTGTTGGGTACTGAACAGTGTGGCTAACGATAGTTTCTAATGGTAGTGTCTCCTCTCTCCTAGCCGTCGCTACCCCGCTGTTGGGTACAGAACAGTGTGGCTAACGATAGTTTCTAATGGTAGTGTCTCCTCTCTCCTAGCCGTCGCTACCCCTCTGTTGGGTACAGAACAGTGTGGCTAACGATAGTTTCTAATGGTAGTGTCTCCTCTCTCCTAGCCGTCGCTACCCCGCTGTTGGGTACTGAAACAGTGTGGCTAACGATAGTTTCTAATGGTAGTGTCTCCTCTCTCCTAGCCGTCGCTACCCCGCTGTTGGGTACTGAACAGTGTGGCTAACGATAGTTTCTAATGGTAGTGTCTCCTCTCTCCTAGCCGTCGCTACCCCTCTGTTGGGGACTGAACAGTGTGGCTAACGATAGTTTCTAATGGTAGTGTCTCCTCTCTCCTAGCCGTCGCTACCCCTCTGTTGGGTACTGAACAGTGTGGCTAACGATAGTTTCTAATGGTAGTGTCTCCTCTCTCCTAGCCGTCGCTACCCCGCTGTTGGGTACAGAACAGTGTGGCTAACGATAGTTTCTAATGGTAGTGTCTCCTCTCTCCTAGCCGTCGCTACCCCTCTGTTGGGTACAGAACAGTGTGGCTAACGATAGTTTCTAATGGTAGTGTCTCCTCTCTCCTAGCCGTCGCTACCCCGCTGTTGGGTACAGAACAGTGTGGCTAACGATAGTTTCTAATGGTAGTGTCTCCTCTCTCCTAGCCGTCGCTACCCCTCTGTTGGGTACTGAACAGTGTGGCTAACGATAGTTTCTAATGGTAGTGTCTCCTCTCTCCTAGCCGTCGCTACCCCCTCTGTTGGGTACTGAACAGTGTGGCTAACGATAGTTTCTAATGGTAGTGTCTCCTCTCTCCTAGCCGTCGCTACCCCTCTGTTGGGTACTGAACAGTGTGGCTAACGATAGTTTCTAATGGTAGTGTCTCCTCTCTCCTAGCCGTCGCTACCCCTCTGTTGGGTACTGAACAGTGTGGCTAACGATAGTTTCTAATGGTAGTGTCTCCTCTCTCCTAGCCGTCGCTACCCCTCTGTTGGGTACTGAACAGTGTGGCTAACGATAGTTTCTAATGGTAGTGTCTCCTCTCTCCTAGCCGTCGCTACCCCTCTGTTGGGGACTGAACAGTGTGGCTAACGATAGTTTCTAATGGTAGTGTCTCCTCTCTCCTAGCCGTCGCTACCCCGCTGTTGGGTACTGAACAGTGTGGCTAACGATAGTTTCTAATGGTAGTGTCTCCTCTCTCCTAGCCGTCGCTACCCCGCTGTTGGGTACAGAACAGTGTGGCTAACGATAGTTTCTAATGGTAGTGTCTCCTCTCTCCTAGCCGTCGCTACCCCTCTGTTGGGTACAGAACAGTGTGGCTAACGATAGTTTCTAATGGTAGTGTCTCCTCTCTCCTAGCCGTCGCTACCCCGCTGTTGGGTACTGAACAGTGTGGCTAACGATAGTTTCTAATGGTAGTGTCTCCTCTCTCCTAGCCGTCGCTACCCCGCTGTTGGGGACTGAACAGTGTGGCTAACGATAGTTTCTAATGGTAGTGCCTCCTCTCTCCTAGCCGTCGCTACCCCGCTGTTGGGGACTGAACAGTGTGGCTAACGATAGTTTCTAATGGTAGTGCCTCCTCTCTCCTAGCCGTCGCTACCCCGCTGTTGGGGACTGAACAGTGTGGCTAACGATAGTTTCTAATGGTAGTGTCTCCTCTCTCCTAGCCGTCGCTACCCCGCTGTTGGGTACTGAACAGTGTGGCTAACGATAGTTTCTAATGGTAGTGTCTCCTCTCTCCTAGCCGTCGCTACCCCGCTGTTGGGTACTGAACAGTGTGGCTAACGATAGTTTCTAATGGTAGTGTCTCCTCTCTCCTAGCCGTCGCTACCCCCGCTGTTGGGTACTGAACAGTGTGGCTAACGATAGTTTCTAATGGTAGTGTCTCCTCTCTCCTAGCCGTCGCTACCCCGCTGTTGGGTACAGAACAGTGTGGCTAACGATAGTTTCTAATGGTAGTGTCTCCTCTCTCCTAGCCGTCGCTACCCCGCTGTTGGGTACAGAACAGTGTGGCTAACGATAGTTTCTAATGGTAGTGTCTCCTCTCTCCTAGCCGTCGCTACCCCGCTGTTGGGTACAGAACAGTGTGGCTAACGATAGTTTCTAATGGTAGTGTCTCCTCTCTCCTAGCCGTCGCTACCCCTCTGTTGGGGACTGAACAGTGTGGCTAACGATAGTTTCTAATGGTAGTGTCTCCTCTCTCCTAGCTGTCGCTACCCCTCTGTTGGGGACTGAACAGTGTGGCTAACGATAGTTTCTAATGGTAGTGTCTCCTCTCTCCTAGCCGTCGCTACCCCTCTGTTGGGTACTGAACAGTGTGGCTAACGATAGTTTCTAATGGTAGTGTCTCCTCTCTCCTAGCCGTCGCTACCCACCCCCCGCTGTTGGGTACTGAACAGTGTGGCTAACGATAGTTTCTAATGGTAGTGCCTCCTCTCTCCTAGCCGTCGCTACCCCGCTGTTGGGTACTGAACAGTGTGGCTAACGATAGTTTCTAATGGTAGTGTCTCCTCTCTCCTAGCCGTCGCTACCCCTCTGTTGGGTACTGAACAGTGTGGCTAACGATAGTTTCTAATGGTAGTGTCTCCTCTCTCCTAGGCGTCGCTACCCCCCCCGCTGTTGGGTACTGAACAGTGTGGCTAACGATAGTTTCTAATGGTAGTGTCTCCTCTCTCCTAGCCGTCGCTACCCCTCTGTTGGGTACTGAACAGTGTGCCCTTGGTCCCGCCTACTGGTGCCAAAATGTGAAGACTGCCTCCATCTGTGGAGCCGTAGTCCACTGCCAGCAGAACGTATGGAACCAGCCCCAGATGGTAAGAATCTAGCCTACTGTCTCTTGTCTATTGAAGGGGGGAAATGGTATAGGTCTTTACCCTGTGTAAATGGATGAATAGTGGGCATTGTTTAACCTGGCCTTGGTTTTGTTACGCTAATCATCTCCCTCCTTCTGTTTCAGAAATCTGTGCCATGTGACCTGTGTAAGGAGGTGGTGGTTGTGGTGTACCAGCTGTTGAAAAACAATGCTACGGAGGTGAGTCATGGAGGATGAATGTGGGGAAAGTTCCCTGTTTTTGTTGTTGCTGAAAACAAATTCATGCGCTGCCAAATAGCAATTTAACTATCTTCTAACCAGCGTACACAATAGTGATGCATGTGTGCCACAACTGTTTTCCAGTCCCAGATGAATGAGTGCTTAAGATAGCCCAGCCATATCTACATCAGTCCTCTTGAGTAGTGTAACCCAGTGGTTCTCAAACCTCTCTTTAGGGGATCCCCAGACCTTTAACAATGTTGTTGTTGTCCTGAACTAGATCACATGATTCACCTAGTAAAGGGCTTGACGATTAGTTGAATCAGGTGCTAGTTCTGGAATAGTTCCAAATACATTTACATTTTAGTCATTTAGCAGACGCTCTTATCCAGAGCGACTTACAGTTAGTGAATACATATATTTTTATACTGGCCCCCCGTGGGAATCGAACCCACAACCCTGGCGTTGCAAACGCCATGCTCTATCAACTGAGCTACATCCCTGCCGGCCATTCCCTCCCCTACCCTGGACCAATTGTGCGCCGCCCATGAGTCTCCCGGTCGCGGCCGGCTGCGACAGAGCCTGGATTCAAACCAGGATCTCTAGTGGCACAGTTAGCACTGCGATGCAGTGCCTTAGACCACTGCGCCACTCAGGAGTCAAATACATGGAACTGCTTGGGGTCCCAGAGGAGAGGTTTGAGAACCACTGCTCCACATAGTGTGTTCTTGAGGCTGTGGTCTTGAGGCTGTGGTCTTGAGGCTGTGGTCTTGAGGCTGTGGTCTTGAGGCTGTGGTCTTGAGGCTGTGGTCACAGTGTGGTCTTGAGGCTGTGGTCTTGAGGCTGTGGTCTTGAGGCTGTGGTCTTGAGGCTGTGGTCTTGAGGCTGTGGTCTTGAGGCTGTGGTCACAGTGTGGTCTTGAGGCTGTGGTCTTGAGGCTGTGGTCTTGAGGCTGTGTTCTTGAGGCTGTGATGTGCATGTCCTCTAGGGTGAGATTCTGGGCTACCTGGAGAAGCTCTGTACCTTGATCCCTGTCAAGAGCCTGTCTGCGGAGTGTAAGGAGCTGGTGGACAGCTACTACCCCCTCATCACTGGCATCATCACTGCAGAACTGGTACACACACACACATACACACACACACACACATACACACACACACATACACACACACACACATACACATACACACACACATACACACACACACAGACAGAAGGGGTTTATAGGAAAGTAAGCTGGCCTACACAGAGCGAGAGAGAGAAGTGGTTTGTTGTTCAGAATCAATCCAACATCTTCATTTTGCTACGCGATATGGAATTGTTTTAAGAAGGTCATACCAAGGATCATTTAGCTATTTGATTTGGAATTTTAAGACCTCTTGAAGGATCAACAAAAATGATTTGATGAAAAAATATAATTGGCCTTACTGCTATTAGCCAATGCAAACACATTGAATAACAGATTCACTACATGGAACAACAGATAGTCCCCCCCCAAAAAAAGAAAATCTAAAGGAAGTTTGTACTGAAGTGTCTGGCCTATATCTTCGAGATATAAGAACATTATTATATATATTTTTTTTAATGATACATGTATTTAACCCCTTATTTTTGGCAGTAAACAGTCTCCGTATATACTGTACCTCCATCAAATTTTTCAACTGGTACCGGGGTACCTTCAGACGAGTCTTGTGAGGCCTTTGGGCGTCCTAGAGCATAACAACTGACATGTTGGTGAGAATCTCACCTCTGCACAGAGGGGTCATATTAGTGTGTAGCCCCAAACTGTTCGGACGCTACAGACAGAAGTTGGCAGATCGGTTGTACCGACTCCAGACGTGTTCGTGAGTCTCATCTTTCCATAGTTTGGAGGCCAAATTGTTCGGACGCTAAAGACGATTTTGTGAGAAGACCGGTTTTCGGGACGTCTCATGGTCTGACAAACACCGCTCTAGCTCTCTCACCTTTCATCGCAGATGCGGAAGTGTGACTTATAAAAAACGGATATCTCTAGCTTAAATTGACAGATTTTTATGGGGATTTATTATTATTATTATGCTAATTAGATTTCCGCTGTGTTTTCTAGGCCTGGAAAACTTTGGGTAAATGATCAAATCCGAAACGTTTTGGAGAAGTCATGGAAATGTAATATAATTTATGTTCATGTAATTTATTTAGGCACAGTTTTAACAATATTTTATCAATTAAAATTAAAATCGACATATCAGCCAGGATCGGAATGATAGCGCATCTGTTTGCGCGCATCACCTGCATAGTGCGAGAGGCGTGGGCGGTTGCTCAAGGAGAGAGAGACAGTCGGACATTGCAACAGCAGGTAGGCCTATAAAATATGATCGAGAACAGGTTAACTAGGTAGCCATTTCAAAACGTATCTGTACCCTCTAGTCTAACTGTTTAGCTATTATTAGCATGTATTAATGGTTTCGTCATGTCCCAAAAAACTTTCCACCGACACTGGCGAATTAGGCCATTGAAAGTTAATTTAACTTTTTTGAACGATTCATACGTTTCATTTAAATGATTATTTTTGATGAAACGAACAATTCACTTTGCCATTGTATTAGTTGGGATTCGGTTCAATCGTTATGAATCAAATCATGTGAATCAAAATAATAATGTGTGAATCGTGAACATGAATTTTAAGAATAAATATTAGATATAGCCTTTCTTTTGGATTATGTGGCTTCAACCTGTTTTGTAGATACTTCCAGTTGATTTGTATATTGAATGATGTATGAGACATTAACTCAATAGGTGCTAGTCAGCCTGCAAAGTAAACACTTCTACGGTGGCTAAGATAAATATGACTAAACTAGAAAAGGTACATTTCCTGAAAATATGTGGGCTTGCTTCAGCTGAATAAAAATATTTGTAGCCTACCATATCCATTTGATCTTTTGATATATTGAATGAGCGAATTATTTCAAAAGGTATAACACACATTTGGTTGTAATGTTGCCATGTTTTACATCAAGGGTGGTCAACCATCCTCCAGGAGAGCTAATGGGTGTGCAGGCTTTTGTTCCAGTCCCCCTCTAACAAACAACATTTTAGAAATGAGCTGCTCAACCGGACCTTGATAAACTCTGATGTGTTTGAGCAGGGCTTGATCAAAAGCCTGCACACCCAGCAGCTCTCCAGACTGAGGGGTTAACCACGTGGTGTTTTATACAGTTGCCTAACAGGTATTCTACTTTGTTGGGGGTTAAGTGCCTTTCTCGACGACAGATTGTACATGGGATCAGAGAGCAACCTCCCAGTGTCGATACCACAATTACTTACTTTTCTTATACGTACATAGAGACGCTGCCGATTTGTCGGTCATGAAAACGTCAAGTCATGAAATTCCAACTGTCAAAATGTGTATGAACCCAGTGTATAATAACTGGACTGATATAGCCGTAACATTTAGTTTTTAAACATTCCCATGACAAATGTTGAGTGGCGATTTAAAGCTTAGTGTTAGAAGATGGTAGACAGCCAAACTGATGAGCAAAGATGGACTAGATGCCCGTTGGCCCTAATGTATATTATATAAAATGACTTTCATGCAGTCTAGTCCAAGGAACGCAATGTGTTGTGACTGAATGGATATTAGGTTGGAAAAGTTTGTCACTCCTAAATATAACATTTTGACAAACAACGAGTTAAAGCAAAACTGAGGATCATTTGATGAGAATTGAGACACTTTACAATACTATACATTGAATGTTGACACTACAGGACAACTGGCATAGGGCCATCTTAGGCATTAGAAGAGTTGAGCTCTCTCTAGTAAAGGTCATTTATTGTCAAGTCAATGTTGTATGCCTCCTTATCAGACTCAAGTTGTCTGTTGTGACACAAGGGGAACACAGTAGATGTTCTGTGGGGACTACTGAAAGGGAACACAGATGTTCTGTGGGGGCTGGGGACTAGGGAAGTGGAACACAGTATATGTTCTGTGGGGACTAGTAAAGGGGAACACAGTAGATGTTCTGTGGGGACTAGTAAAGGGGAACACAGTAGATGTTCTGTGGGGACTAGTAAAGGGGAACACAGTAGATGTTCTGTGGGGACTAGTAAAGGGGAACACAGTAGATGTTCTGTGGGGACTAGTAAAGGGGAACACAGTAGATGTTCTGTGGGGACTAGTAAAGGGGAACACAGTAGATGTTCTGTGGGGACTAGTGAAGGGGAACACAGTAGATGTTCTGTGGGGACTAGTAAAGGGGAACACAGTAGATGTTCTGTGGGGACTAGTAAAGGGGAACACAGTAGATGTTCTGTGGGGACTAGTAAAGGGGAACACAGTAGATGTTCTGTGGGGACTAGTAAAGGGGAACACAGTAGATGTTCTGTGGGGACTAGTAAAGGGGAACACAGTAGATGTTCTGTGGGGACTAGTAAAGGGGAACACAGTAGATGTTCTGTGGGGACTAGTAAAGGGGAACACAGTAGATGTTCTGTGGGGACTAGTAAAGGGGAACACAGTAGATGTTCTGTGGGGACTAGTAAAGGGGAACACAGTAGATGTTCTGTGGGGACTAGTAAAGGGGAACACAGTAGATGTTCTGTGGGGGCTGGGGACTAGTAAAGGGGAACACAGTAGATGTTCTGTGGGGACTAGTAAAGGGGAACACAGTAGATGTTCTGTGGGGACTAGTAAAGGGGAACACAGTAGATGTTCTGTGGGGACTAGTAAAGGGGAACACAGTAGATGTTCTGTGGGGACTAGTAAAGGGGAACACAGTAGATGTTCTGTGGGGGCTGGGGACTAGGGAATGAAAGGCATTTAGAAGGATGCCAGCTACATATAGATTAAGCCTGTTCCTGGACTAAAACACACTTTCAATTGAGATTCATTTGAGTCCAGGACTAGGCTTAATCTGGGTCTGTGAAACTGACCCTGAGAGTTAATGGTAGTGACTTCATAGTGGAGTCTCTAGTGAGATATACAGATTGTAGTGACTTAATAGTGGAGTCTCTAGTGAGATATACAGATTGTAGTGACTTAATGGTGGAGTCTCTAGTGAGATACAGATTGTAGTGACTTAATGGTGGAGTCTCTAGTGAGATATACAGATTGTAGTGACTTAATGGTGGAGTCTCTAGTGAGATATACAGATTGTAGTGACTTAATGGTGGAGTCTCTAGTGAGATATACAGATTGTAGTGACTTAATGGTGGAGTCTCTAGTGAGATATACAGATTGTAGTGACTTAATAGTGGAGTCTCTAGTGAGATATACAGATTGTAGTGACTTAATGGTGGAGTCTCTAGTGAGATATACAGATTGTAGTGACTTAATGGTGGAGTCTCTAGTGAGAAATACAGATTGTAGTGACTTAATGGTGGAGTCTCTAGTGAGATATACAGATTGTAGTGACTTAATGGTGGAGTCTCTAGTGAGATATACAGGTGGTAGTGACTTAATGGTGGAGTCTCTAGTGAGATATACAGATTGTAGTGACTTGATAGTGGAGTCTCTAGTGAGATATACAGATTGTAGTGACTTAATGGTGGAGTCTCTAGTGAGATATACAGATTGTAGTGACTTAATGGTGGAGTCTCTAGTGATATATACAGATTGTAGTGACTTAATGGTGGAGTCTCTAGTGAGATATACAGATTGTAGTGACTTAATGGTGGAGTCTCTAGTGAGATATACAGATTGTAGTGACTTAATGGTGGAGTCTCTAGTGAGATATACAGATTGTAGTGACTTAATGGTGGAGTCTCTAGTGAGATATACAGATTGTAGTGACTTAATGGTGGAGTCTCTAGTGAGATATACAGATTGTAGTGACTTGATAGTGGAGTCTCTAGTGAGATATACAGATTGTAGTGACTTGATAGTGGAGTCGCTAGTGAGATATACAGATTGTAGTGACTTAATGGTGGAGTCTCTAGTGAGATATACAGATTGTAGTGACTTAATAGTGGAGTCTCTAGTGAGATATACAGATTGTAGTGACTTAATGGTGGAGTCTCTAGTGAGATATACAGATTTTAGTGACTTAATGGTGGAGTCTCTAGTGAGATATACAGATTGTAGTGACTTGATAGTGGAGTCTCTAGTGAGATATACAGATTGTAGTGACTTAATAGTGGAGTCTCTAGTGAGATATACAGATTTTAGTGACTTAATGGTGGAGTCTCTAGTGAGATATACAGATTGTAGTGACTTGATAGTGGAGTCTCTAGTGAGATATACAGATTGTAGTCACTTAATGGTGGAGTCTCTAGTGAGATATACAGATTGTAGTCACTTAATGGTGGAGTCTCTAGTGAGATATACAGATTGTAGTGACTTAATGGTGGAGTCTCTAGTGAGATATACAGATTGTAGTGACTTAATGGTGGTGTCTCTAGTGAGATATACAGATTGTAGTGACTTAATGGTGGAGTCTCTAGTGAGATATACAGATTGTAGTGACTTAATGGTGGAGTCTCTAGTGAGATATACAGATTGTAGTGACTTAATGGTGGAGTCTCTAGTGAGATATACAGATTGAAGTGACTTAATGGTGGAGTCTCTAGTGAGATATACAGATTGTAGTGACTTAATGGTGGAGTCTCTAGTGAGGTATACAGATTGTAGTGACTTAATGGTGGAGTCTCTAGTGAGATATACAGATTGTAGTGACTTAATGGTGGAGTCTCTAGTGAGATATACAGATTGTAGTGACTTAATGGTGGAGTCTCTAGTGAGATATACAGATTGTAGTGACTTAATGGTGGAGTCTCTAGTGAGATATACAGATTGTAGTGACTTAATGGTGGAGTCTCTAGTGAGATATACAGATTGTAGTGACTTAATGGTGGAGTCTCTAGTGAGATATACAGATTGTAGTGACTTAATGGTGGAGTCTCTAGTGAGATATACAGATTGTAGTGACTTAATGGTGGAGTCTCTAGTGAGATATACAGATTGTAGTGACTTAATGGTGGAGTCTCTAGTGAGGTATACAGATTGTAGTGACTTAATGGTGGAGTCTCTAGTGAGATATATACAGATTGTAGTGACTTAATGGTGGAGTCTCTAGTGAGATATACAGATTGTAGTGACTTAATGGTGGAGTCTCTAGTGAGATATACAGATTGTAGTGACTTAATGGTGGAGTCTCTAGTGAGATATACAGATTGTAGTGACTTAATGGTGGAGTCTCTAGTGAGATATACAGATTGTAGTGACTTAATGGTGGAGTCTCTAGTGAGATATACAGATTGTAGTGACTTAATGGTGGAGTCTCTAGTGAGATATACAGATTGTAGTGACTTAATGGTGGAGTCTCTAGTGAGATATACAGATTGTAGTGACTTAATGGTGGAGTCTCTAGTGAGATATACAGATTGTAGTGACTTAATGGTGGAGTCTCTAGTGAGATATACAGATTGAAGTGACTTAATGGTGGAGTCTCTAGTGAGATATACAGATTGAAGTGACTTAATGGTGGAGTCTCTAGTGAGATATACAGATTGAAGTGACTTAATGGTGGAGTCTCTAGTGAGATATACAGATTGTAGTGACTTAATGGTGGAGTCTCTAGTGAGATATACAGATTGTAGTGACTTAATGGTGGAGTCTCTAGTGAGATATACAGATTGTAGTGACTTAATGGTGGAGTCTCTAGTGAGATATACAGATTGTAGTGACTTAATGGTGGAGTCTCTAGTGAGATATACAGATTGTAGTGACTTAATGGTGGAGTCTCTAGTGAGATATACAGATTGTAGTGACTTAATGGTGGAGTCTCTAGTGAGATATACAGATTGTAGTGACTTAATGGTGGAGTCTCTAGTGAGATATACAGATTGAAGTGACTTAATGGTGGAGTCTCTAGTGAGATATACAGATTGTAGTGACTTAATGGTGGAGTCTCTAGTGAGATATACAGATTGTAGTGACTTAATGGTGGAGTCTCTAGTGAGATATACAGGTGGTAGTGACTTAATGGTGGAGTCTCTAGTGAGATATACAGATTGTAGTGACTTGATAGTGGAGTCTCTAGTGAGATATACAGATTGTAGTGACTTAATGGTGGAGTCTCTAGTGAGATATACAGATTGTAGTGACTTAATGGTGGAGTCTCTAGTGATATATACAGATTGTAGTGACTTAATGGTGGAGTCTCTAGTGAGATATACAGATTGTAGTGACTTAATGGTGGAGTCTCTAGTGAGATATACAGATTGTAGTGACTTAATGGTGGAGTCTCTAGTGAGATATACAGATTGAAGTGACTTAATGGTGGAGTCTCTAGTGAGATATACAGATTGTAGTGACTTAATGGTGGAGTCTCTAGTGAGATATACAGATTGTAGTGACTTAATAGTGGAGTCTCTAGTGAGATATACAGATTGTAGTGACTTAATGGTGGAGTCTCTAGTGAGATATACAGATTTTAGTGACTTAATGGTGGAGTCTCTAGTGAGATATACAGATTGTAGTGACTTGATAGTGGAGTCTCTAGTGAGATATACAGATTGTAGTGACTTAATAGTGGAGTCTCTAGTGAGATATACAGATTTTAGTGACTTAATGGTGGAGTCTCTAGTGAGATATACAGATTGTAGTGACTTGATAGTGGAGTCTCTAGTGAGATATACAGATTGTAGTCACTTAATGGTGGAGTCTCTAGTGAGATATACAGATTGTAGTCACTTAATGGTGGAGTCTCTAGTGAGATATACAGATTGTAGTCACTTAATGGTGGAGTCTCTAGTGAGATATACAGATTGTAGTGACTTAATGGTGGAGTCTCTAGTGAGATATACAGATTGTAGTGACTTAATGGTGGTGTCTCTAGTGAGATATACAGATTGTAGTGACTTAATGGTGGAGTCTCTAGTGAGATATACAGATTGTAGTGACTTAATGGTGGGAGTCTCTAGTGAGATATACAGATTGTAGTGACTTAATGGTGGAGTCTCTAGTGAGATATACAGATTGTAGTGACTTAATGGTGGAGTCTCTAGTGAGGTATACAGATTGTAGTGACTTAATGGTGGAGTCTCTAGTGAGATATACAGATTGTAGTGACTTAATGGTGGAGTCTCTAGTGAGATATACAGATTGTAGTGACTTAATGGTGGAGTCTCTAGTGAGATATACAGATTGTAGTGACTTAATGGTGGAGTCTCTAGTGAGATATACAGATTGTAGTGACTTAATGGTGGAGTCTCTAGTGAGATATACAGATTGTAGTGACTTAATGGTGGAGTCTCTAGTGAGATATACAGATTGTAGTGACTTAATGGTGGAGTCTCTAGTGAGATATACAGATTGTAGTGACTTAATGGTGGAGTCTCTAGTGAGATATACAGATTGTAGTGACTTAATGGTGGAGTCTCTAGTGAGATATACAGATTGAAGTGACTTAATGGTGGAGTCTCTAGTGAGATATACAGATTGTAGTGACTTAATGGTGGAGTCTCTAGTGAGATATACAGATTGTAGTGACTTAATGGTGGAGTCTCTAGTGAGATATACAGATTGTAGTGACTTAATGGTGGAGTCTCTAGTGAGATATATACAGATTGTAGTGACTTAATGGTGGAGTCTCTAGTGAGATATATACAGATTGTAGTGACTTAATGGTGGAGTCTCTAGTGAGATATACAGATTGTAGTGACTTAATGGTGGGAGTCTCTAGTGAGATATACAGATTGTAGTGACTTAATGGTGGAGTCTCTAGTGAGATATACAGATTGTAGTGACTTAATGGTGGAGTCTCTAGTGAGATATACAGATTGTAGTGACTTAATGGTGGAGTCTCTAGTGAGATATACAGATTGTAGTGACTTAATGGTGGAGTCTCTAGTGAGATATACAGATTGTAGTGACTTAATGGTGGAGTCTCTAGTGAGATATACAGATTGTAGTGACTTAATGGTGGAGTCTCTAGTGAGATATATACAGATTGTAGTGACTTAATGGTGGAGTCTCTAGTGAGATATATACAGATTGTAGTGACTTAATGGTGGAGTCTCTAGTGAGATATACAGATTGTAGTGACTTAATGGTGGAGTCTCTAGTGAGATATACAGATTGTAGTGACTTAATGGTGGAGTCTCTAGTGAGATATACAGATTGTAGTGACTTAATGGTGGAGTCTCTAGTGAGATATACAGATTGTAGTGACTTAATGGTGGAGTCTCTAGTGAGATATACAGATTGTAGTGACTTAATGGTGGAGTCTCTAGTGAGATATACAGATTGTAGTGACTTAATGGTGGAGTCTCTAGTGAGATATACAGATTGTAGTGACTTAATGGTGGAGTCTCTAGTGAGATATATACAGATTGTAGTGACTTAATGGTGGAGTCTCTAGTGAGATATATACAGATTGTAGTGACTTAATGGTGGAGTCTCTAGTGAGATATACAGATTGAAGTGACTTAATGGTGGAGTCTCTAGTGAGATATACAGATTGTAGTGACTTAATGGTGGAGTCTCTAGTGAGATATACAGATTGTAGTGACTTAATGGTGGAGTCTCTAGTGAGATATACAGATTGTAGTGACTTAATGGTGGAGTCTCTAGTGAGATATACAGATTGTAGTGACTTAATGGTGGAGTCTCTAGTGAGATATACAGATTGTAGTGACTTAATGGTGGAGTCTCTAGTGAGATATACAGATTGAAGTGACTTAATGGTGGAGTCTCTAGTGAGATATACAGATTGTAGTGACTTAATGGTGGAGTCTCTAGTGAGATATACAGATTGTAGTGACTTAATGGTGGAGTCTCTAGTGAGATATACAGATTGTAGTGACTTAATGGTGGAGTCTCTAGTGAGATATACAGATTGTAGTGACTTAATGGTGGAGTCTCTAGTGAGATATATACAGATTGTAGTGACTTAATGGTGGAGTCTCTAGTGAGATATACAGATTGTAGTGACTTAATGGTGGAGTCTCTAGTGAGATATACAGATTGTAGTGACTTAATGGTGGAGTCTCTAGTGAGATATACAGATTGTAGTGACTTAATGGTGGAGTCTCTAGTGAGATATATACAGATTGAAGTGACTTAAGTCCGATGTCTCTGGGTTTCAGGAGAACCCCCAGGTGGTGTGTGGTGCCATTGGCCTGTGTGATTCCCAGCAGGCAGCTCTGGGCAGACTCCAGTCTCAGATCCAATCCAAACAGATCCCCCAGCTCACGTCCAATGAGATCCCTCAGGAAGACCTGGCCCAGAGGGTCGCCCCCTTCCTCCTCAACGTCCCTGGGCTCCTCTACCCCCAGGCCCAGGAGAACACCAAGCAGGGGGTCCCTAAACAGGTACGCCAGTCGTCATAGAATTTGGGGGTCTAGGATTGGGTTTCTGTAAAGCAATTGTTAAAAAGGGCTTTAAAAATACATTAGATTTAGAATTTACTCAGGTGTCCAGCATAGCTGCAACATAGGTTGTGTTCAGTAAGGCACAAAGTACCAAATCTTTTTGCAACGGAAAACTGAAATCTGTCTTCTTATTGAACAAATTCTGGCTGTACTTTCCCATTCCAAACCGTCATTTCACTACTGAACACCACCCAGTACCAACTTTAAACTTATCACTGATTCATATTGGTATGTGTGTAGAGGTAACTGCTACTCCTCATTCACTAGTGAATGTCTTCTGTCCCCTGTAGGAGAGTGGAGACGTGTGTGAGGACTGTGTGAAGTTCATCACAGACTTCCAGGACGAGGCTAAGAGCAACTCCACCTACGTCAACTCTCTGATCGAACGGATCGAGAGCCAGTGTGACCTGCTGGGACCTGGAATCTCTGACCTGGTGAGAGGACTACTTAGTTATCTAATTAGTAGTTAGTGAGAGGACTGGGTTTTATAACAAGTTTGGTGGAGTGATTTATTTTTGAGTAATCCAGCAATAGCCATAATCTAATTTAAGGAGGTTGTGAAGTTCGTACCCTAGATGCTAGCTGATTTAATGCACTAGCTGGTTTATTTGACCCTGTTGGTCATCTATGAACGTTAGAAGATCATGAAGAACGATCTGGCCTTAAATGGCCATGTACTCTTATAATCTCCACCCGACTGGCCACCCCTCAGAGCCTGGTTCCTCTCTAGGTTTCTTCCTAGGTCTCTGCCTTTCTAGGGAGTTTTTCCTAGCCACCGTGCTTCTACATCTGCATTGCTTGCTGTTTGGGGTTTTAGGCTGGGTTTCTGTATAGCACTTTGATATCTGCTGCTGTTAAAAGGGCTTTATAAATACATTTGATTGACCAACAAATACTTTCAATCTATGAAGCTAGAAGATTGTTTTCCACTGACTTTGTTTCTGACTGTTTTTTGCCTCCTGTGTTTCAGTGCAAGCAGTACGTCAGCCAGTACGCTCCTCTCATCGCCCTGCAGCTCATGTCCATGGTTAGTCACCTCATTGTCTTCTACCTTCAAGGTCACGTCCCAAATGGCTCCCTATATAGTGCACCACTTTTGGCTTTCAGCCCCCCAAACAGGAGGGTTTTCTTTTTGTAATGTAATTGTAATCAATGAATCTGCACAGTGTTGCCTGACAAATACTTAACAGGTTTATACATGGGTGAAATGAACCAGCATGTGTATGATAATGTCATAATACATTTAGTGTTTATTTATATATATATATATCCAGACTCCTCCTACAGCACCTCCTACCGCTGATTTCTTCCATCATTAAACACTTTTTTTTTTTCTCCTTCCTCCTTCCTCCCTCTTTCCTTTTCCCCCTCTTCCCTCCCTCTCCCCTCTTTCCCCCTCCTCCTCTCTCCCCCCCCCCCCTTTTTTTTTTCCCCCTCCTGCCCCCCTCCCCCCTTTTTTCTCTCTCCTCCCCCCTCCTTTTTCCCCCCCCTTCCCCTCCCTCTCCTCTTCCTCCCCTCCCCTGGGCCCCCCCCCCCCCCCCCCCCCCCCCCCCCCCCCCCCCCCGGGGGGGCCCCCCCCGGCCCCCCCCCCCCCCCCCCCAAAAAAAAGGGGGGGCCCCCCCCCCGGGGGGGGGGGGGGCCCCCCCCCCCCCCCCCCCCCCCCCCCCCCCCCCCCCCCCCCCCCCCCCCTTTTTTTTTTTTTTTTTTTTCCCCCCTTTCCCCCCCTTCCCCCCCCCCCCCCCTTCCCCTTCCCCCTTTTCCCCCCCCCTCCCCCCCCTTTCCTCCCCCCCGCCCCCCTTTTTTTTCCCCCCTTCCCTTTTTTCCTTTTTTCCCCCAAAAATTTTTCCCCCTTTCCCCCCCCCCTCCTTTTTTTCCCCCCCCTTTCTTTTCCCCCCCCTTTTTTTTTAAAAAAAAAAAAAAAAAAACCCCCCCCCCGGGCCCCTCCCCCCCCCCTCCGGCCCCCCTTTTTTTTTTCCCCTTTCCTCCCCCCCCCTTTCTCCCCCTTTTTTCCCCCCCCCTTTTTTTTTTTTCCCTCCCCCCCCCCCCCCCCCCCCCTTTTTCCCCCTTTCTCCCCCCCCCCCCCCCCTTTTTCCCCCCCCTTCTCTTTTCCCCCTGCCCTTTTCTCCAAAACCCCCTTTCTTTTTTTTCCCCCCCTTTTTTTTCTTTTTTCCCCCCTTTTTTTTTCCCCCCCCCCCCCCCTCCCTTTTTCCCTCCTCTTCTCCTGCTCTCTCTCTTCTCCTGGGGTTGCTATGGGTCTCTAGGAACAGGTAGGTCTCTCTCGCTCTGTGTTCAGTCTCTTACCCTTTTAGGCTGTAGCCACACAGAGACTGGGATGAAATCCTATTATGCATTCAGCATTGTCCAATTTTGTCCTGCAAAAAGGCTGACATATTGAGCGTTTTTTTTTTTGACGGACAATCATCTCCGTTGTCCATCTGTCAACTGATGACTACCATTGTAAAAAGATCTGGAATTTTCTGACAATCTGTCTGCCCACAGCCTGAGGCTCTGTTTCTGTATTGTCTTTCTACTAGTGCTACTCACTTTAAATACTCACCTTTTACTGTTCTAGAACTGCATCACAATGTTTCTCTGTTTTGTGCCGAATGCAAATACCTAGGCAAGTCGAGCTTTTTTTGTAAAACATATTTGATGTGTGTGTCGTGATACTAGACTGCAGATTGGTCCGTGCAACCCTCTCCATTTTGTCCACTGGGTTTGGGCGGTATACCGGGGTTTGGGCGGTATACCGGGGTATTTGGAAAAAGCCACGGGATGGTTTTTCAATACCACCAATACTGTTGAAACAATTTCTTTGACTCTTTAAAAAAATATATATATATTTGTTTTAATTTTTTAAGTAAATACTGTACCTGCTGTCAACTTGTGCAATGCGTTAGGAGATAAAGCAGATCGCGTTCTTCATTTCACCTGTCACATCATTTTACATTAGGAAACCGTAGTTCCCCAGAACAGTTGAGCCAGTCAGGTGTTTGTTGGTAAACAGCACAACAGGGGACAGTGGTAGCAGGTGAGTCCAGCTGTGTATTTACAGGGGTCGCGTTTTATATTGAAAGTCAATATACCATAGTTTTCCTTCACAAAAAAGGCATTAGTGAAGCACATTCGGCAGAAAATGGCTTCATTTTCTTCAGATGACAGCAGAAATGCAACGCTATTTGGCTGGCAGCCTCAAGTAAATGAGCTTACAATGAAAAAGCAAGGTATTTTTTGCAAAAACAATGCATGGCCATCATATTTCTAATGTTTAGGCCTATCATAGAAAGAATGTAGCCAGCTGCATGTTCTAATGTTTTGCTTAAAGTTAATCTTGCATTTTTACCGGAGAAAAGTAGACTGACTACACTGAGAAAAGTACCGGAGAAAAAGAGTACTGTCTGCTGATAGAACGGCCGTTCATGAATTGTCACCCGAGTTTAAAAGTGCAACAGAAGCACAACATTAGTCTGATGCCGAGCAGAAATTACAATGTGAAGCATTTTAGATCTGTGTTTACAAAACGAAGCAAGAGATTTCTTATGCGTTTCTTTTTTTTTTTCTCCTGCGTGAAACGCAGAATTCTGCGTTAACACGACCCTTAAGTTTAACTCGATATCTAAGTAAGTGGCTGAATTGATAAGGTCACGTGGCATCATATCGTGTTCGCTTTCTGCTGTGTTTGAGAAGCCAAAGCCCTTTTGGATGAGTGATCTGTACAGCTGCCACTGTAGCTTGATTTCCTTGTGTTTTCTTTCTCCTTTCTGTTCTGGGTCTGTTTGCTCCGCCCCCATCTTCTCCGAGGAGAGCAGGCAGGCCGGTTGCCCTAGCGACTCCACACAGTACTGTTCTTCCTTAAGACAAGCATGCGTCAACTTTGTTCATTTGCACGATGTCTCCCATTCACTTGTAAATGTCCAAACTCACCAAAAATGACATTCGGGAAGCTCCTACCTGTATATGTAGAACTTTATGAGCTGGACTGCCTTTTCTTTGCAATTCGTTTATTTTCTTTTGCGCTCGTTAGCATATTAAGCTAGCAGCCTCCATGGAAATTCACTATTACTTGTGCTAATTTTGTTAGCGTTCTGCTAATAGACGTCCAATCCTAAAATGAATGATTCACTACCAATGTTATAGTTTCTTAATGCTTCATTAGTGTCTGGAACCATCTGATCCCTATGCATGAGAATCATCTACCTGTGACATGGGCTTCTGGATTAGACAGTATACTGAACCTATTGTGTGGGTTTGAAATTGATTGCATGAGGAAATGTATAGCATGGATCTGTCTCTGAGACTATGGTGCAGTGGACTGTGCACGTTGTACACATGCATCATCCTGACGGCATGTGATGCAACATGGACACATTCATACCATACCACAGAAACTAACTGTCCATTCTGACATTCTCCCCACTCAGAAACCTAAAGATATCTGTGCCCGCGCTGGCTTCTGCTCTGCAGAGGTGAAGAGCTCTGTCCCCATGATGAAGCTGGTGGCTGCCAAGGCAATCCCCGCTGTCAAACTGGTCCCTGCCACTAAGATGGAGGCTCTCAAGCCCGCCAAGGTAACCTACTTGTACCAGAGGCACTGGAACTGCACAACTGTACCTTCACTTTCTTTCTTCCACATGAAATACATTTACATTTAAATACAAAGACATTTCCATACACATAAAAAGTGATATAATCACACTGACCATGTGTTTGTAAAGTAGTTATGACGTTGGTATGTTTACTATTGTCAAGTTGCGTCAATTCAAATCTGGTATTAGGAACAAAAAGAGGTCAATACACGTCTTCTAAAATAGACTAGTATTTTAATTAATGCAAACACTTGAATGGTAAATACACTGCTCAAAAAAATAAAGGGAACACTAAAATAACACATCCTAGATCTGAATGAATGAAATAATCTTGTTAAATACTTTTTTCTTTACATAGTTGAATGTGCTGACAACAAAATCACACAAAAATTATCAATGGAAATCAAATTTATCAACCCATGGAGGTCTGGATTTGGAGTCACCCTCAAAATTACAGTGGAAAACCACACTACAGGCTGATCCAACTTTGATGTAATGTCCTTAAAACAAGTCAAAATGAGGCTCAGTAGTGTGTGTGTGGCCTCCACGTGCCTGTATGACCTCCCTACAACGCCTGGGCATGCTCCTGATGAGGTGGCGGATGGTCTCCTGAGGGATCTCCTCCCAGACCTGGACTAAAGCATCCGCTAATTCCTGGACAGTCTGGTGCAACGTGGCGTTGGTGGATGGAGCGAGACATGATGTCCCAGATGTGCTCAATTGGATTCAGGTCTGGGGAACGGGCGGGCCAGTCCATAGCATCAATGCCTTCCTCTTGCAGGAACTGCTGACACACTCCAGCCACATGAGGTCTAGCATTGTCTTGCATTAGGAGGAACCCAGGGCCAACCGCACCAGCATATGGTCTCACAAGGGGTCTGAGGATCTCATCTTGGAACCTAATGGCAGTCAGGCTACCTCTGGCGAGCACATGGAGGGCTGTGCGGCCCCCCAAAGAAATGCCACCCCACACCATGACTGACCCACCGCCAAACCGGTCATGCTGGAGGATGTTGCAGGCAGCAGAATGTTCTCCACGGCGTCTCCAGACTCTGTCACGTCTGTCACGTGCTCAGTGTGAACCTGCTTTCATCTGTGAAGGGCACAGTGCGCCAGTGGCGAATTTGCTAATCTTGGTGTTCTCTGGCAAATGCCAAACGTCCTGCACGGTGTTGGGCTGTAAGCACAACCCCCACCTGTGGACATCGGGCCCTCATACCACCCTCATGGAGTCTGTTTCTGACCGTTTGAGCAGACACATGCACATTTGTGGCCTGCTGGAGGTCATTTTGCAGGGCTCTGGCAGTGCTCCTCCTGCTCCTCCTTGCACAAAGGCGGAGGTAGCAGTCCTGCTGCTGGGTTGTTGCCCTCCTACGGCCTCCTCCACGTCTCCTGATGTACTTGCCTGTCTTCTGGTAGCGCCTCCATGCTCTGGACACTACGCTGACAGACACAGCAAACCTTCTTCCCACAGCTCGCATTGATGTGCCATCCTGGATGAGCTGCACTACCTGAGCCACTTGTGTGGGTTGTAGACTCCATCTCATGCTACCACTAGAGTGAAAGCACTGCCAGCATTCAAAAGTGACCAAAACATCAGCCAGGAAGCATAGGAACTGAGAAGTGGTCTGTGGTCACCAACTGCAAAACCAGTCCTTTATTGGGGGTGTCTTGCTAATTGCCTATAATTTCCACCTGTTTATTCCATTTGCACAACAGCATGTGAAATGTATTGTCAATCAGTGTTGCTTCCTAAGTGGACAGTTTGATTTCACAGAAGTGTGATTGACTTGGAGTTACATTGTGTTATTTAAGTGTTCCCTTTATTTCTTTGAGCAGTGTATGATGTTCGTATATACGGGCCCACTGAAACACCACGCAGGGCAGTCAGAGAACTAACTTTTTCAACCCAAGGTTCTCTTTAATACTTTGACAGAGATAGTTCCTGCTCCAGGCTGGGCCTGTCAGAGTAGAGGCTGGGTGTGGTTTAAACTTACCCAACCTATCGTTGGCGCTTCACTGTTGCCAGGCGTTAGTTGTTTCTGTAGCAGTACACATGTCCTTGAGCGGTTTAACAAAGAGGCAGTGTTTGTGTGTGAGTCACAAGTCTATCTCAGCCTACCCCCTAACGGTTCCTCACATTAATCACAGCTTGTTATGTTAAACAATCTATATCAGTACAGCACAAACCTATTATGTTTAATCATTAATGTATTATTTCTAAGCTAGGCATCACATCTAGTTGTAAGAGAATAGATCCCCACACTATTCTAGAACATGGTTCATGCCCCAGAATGCACTGTGTTATGAGGGTACTACTACTACTGTCCTTAGCTAGCTAGTTAACCTCTTCTTCTCTCTGTAGAACATGGTGCGTGCCCGTGGCTCCCCCCAATGTGTCGTATGTGAGTTCATAATAAAGGAGGTGGAGAGCATGCTGGGGCATAAGAAGACTGAGGTAGGTCACCTGACCGGTTGCTCATGAGTTACGACCTTCTATAAAACACTTGACGATGTGGTAAAGGGTTTCATGTTCAAACAACAGGAGTGGAGGTGCTACTCTCGGTCTGATGGTCCCATGACCAAAACATCACTCTGTTTTGTAATGGGGTTACAATAAATAATATTGATCATGATAAAAAGCACTATATAAATGAATGCGATTGCTCTCCACCTCTGGCATATGCTGGATCATCAACACATTTTCAGTTTGAATATTGCCGCCTAAAAAGCCACAGTAATCCAGACAAAAGGAGCTATTTGCGGCTTCTCCGTAACATTTTAATGTTCATTCAAATTAGTTCAACTGAAATTGTTATTAAGTGACATGTTGGCTGTGACTTGAGGGTTCTAAAAACGATTATTCTGTCTGAATGTACACAAGGTTTTACCCCCCCCCCCCCCCCCCCCCCCCCCGAGGCCAAGTGGGCTTGTTTGTCCTGTGTGTCAAGGATGAACAAGAATTTAGTCCAATGCATCTCGTCTCTGCATCCTGAGGCCACACATTACTCTGACCCTGTGTGATGGTGGCATGCGTATTACCGTGCAAGCAGCAGTGGATATTGTTTCACTCTGTAGCGGTATTGTTAGAGCAGGGGTGTCAAACTCATTTTAGCTCAGGGGCCACATGGAGGAAAATCTATTCCCAAGTGGGCCGGACCGGGAAAATCATGGTATATATATAACTTAGAAAACAATCTGAAGTTGTTGTTTTTTTGTTTTAATACGATCAACATACAACATAAAGCTGGAGCCTGAGGACAGTGTGTCCAAATTAGTACAAGCACAACATCACTATTAATCATAAAACACGTCAAGTTTATTTGAAAATTCTAAAGAAAAAGAACACACAAACACACAATGCCTCAGTGATTAACAGAACTGTTTCACAGATCACAGAACTATATCAGGGTGTCATTTCTCAGGCAGAAATGTAGATAAAAATAATGAAATCCTGTTCCCCAAACAAGTGCAAGAACCACAGAGTCAAGAATAGGTTAAATATACAAATAAAATAAAAACAATTAAAAACAATAGCACATCAACATAAAAACATATAAACATAAAGCTGGAGCCTGAGGACAGTGTCCAAAAGCACAACATCACTATTAATCATAAAACACCTCAAGTTATTTGAAAGTTCTGAGGACAAAGAACACACAAACACACAATGCCTCAGTGATTAACAGAACTGTTTCACATATCACAGAACTATATCAGGGTGTCATTTCTCAGGCAGAAATGTAGATAAAAATAATGAAATCCTGTTCCCCAAACAAGTGCAAGAACCACAGAGTCAAGAATAGGTTAAATATACAAATAAAATAAAATCAATTAAAAACAATAGCACATCAACATAAAAACATATAAACATAAATCTGAAAGTGTTGCTCAAACTCCCGTAACAGTCCCGTTATTTTATCTTTGAACCGCTTCATGTCTGCCACATGTTGGGTCGCGCACACATTTTTCAGACAGGGGAAGTGAGCTGCATCACCACCGGCAAGTTGCGTCTCCCACAATGACAGCTTCAACTTGAAAGAACGTATGCTGTCATAATACTGCGTGACAACTTTGTTGCGCCCTTGCAGCTGTTTGTTCAAGTTATTCAGGTGCTCTGTAACATCCACCATAAATGCAAGGTCCTGCATCCATTCTGCGGAATGAAATTCTAACACTGGTTTGCCCTTTTCTTCCATGAACTGTTCAATTTCTTCTCGTAAATCAAAGAAACGCCACAGCACAGCACCTCGGCTTAACCATCTTACCTCAGTGTGGTATGGCAGGCCATAGATGTGGTCTTTCTCTCTGAGAAGGCTGTCAAACTGACAGTGATTCAGGCTTCTGGATCGGATTAAATTAACAGTTTGGATGACCACCTTCATGACGTTATCCATCTTTAATGACTTGCAACACAAAGCCTCCTGGTGCAGTGAAAAGTCAAAAAATCACGTCCTCCATTTGCAGATTGCACTTTCTCTCTGAACTTTGTCACAACGCCTGCTTTTTTTCCCGATCATTGAGGGCGCACCATCTGTAGTCAGGCTGACAGCGCGGGACCAGTCCACTCCGACCCTGTCCAGCGCGCCAACGAGTGCGGTAAAAATATCAGCTGCTGTCGTTGTATCTGTCATCGGCACCAACTCCACGAACTCCTCGGTGACGGTCAATGTGTCATCAACTCCACGGATGAAAATGGCCAGTTGTGCAACATCTGTAATGTCCGTGCTTTCATCAATTGCAACCGAAAACGCAATAAATGACTACTTTTTGCTTCAACTAGCTGTCCAAATACACTGAAAGATCGGAAATCCTGTCTGCAACTGTGTTTCTTGTCAGGCTGATATTTGCAAAAGCCTGCCGCTTTTCAGGGCACACAATCTCCGTTGCCTTCATCATGCATGTTTTTACAAATTCACCCTCACTAAATGGTTTTGAAGCCACTGCGATTTCATTAGCAATGAGGTAGCTAGCTTTCACTGCAGCGTCACTGATGTCTCGGCTGTGAGTAAACACAGACTGCTGTTTCTTCAGATCCGCCAACAGTTCATTCACCTTCTCTCATCTCCGCTGTCCTTGAAAGTTGTCATATTTGTCGGCATGAATACTCACATAGTGGCGACGAAGGTTATATTCTTTCAGCACTGCAACATGCTCTGAACACACCAAACATACAGCTTTCCCATTCAATTCCGTGAATAAATAGGATGACCATTTTTCTTGGAACACTCTGCACTCTGCGTCCACTTTTCTCTTTTTTGACAGAGACATATTGGGGCAATGAGGGTGCCAAAGCACATAATGTTAAAAGTAGAAGCCGTAATAAATATCGCGGGCAAAACAAAGTAGCTCATTGGCTGCACGTGCTTGACCTACTTGCTCTGCCCCGGTATAAACAGTTTGCTTGCTTAACACAATTGCTATTGCGCCATCCAGTGGACGCAATTGGAACAGCAGTTTATTTTATTGAAAAATTGCAGCGCATTTTTATACTTTACAAAAAAAAATTGTCTTTTTTAAAAAGTTATTAAATTTATTTTTTTAATCATCTCGCGGACCGGATTAAACCCGTTTGCGGGCCTGATCCGGCCCACGGGCCGGAGGTTTGACACCCCTGTGTTAGAGGGTAAAGAAAATGATTTTTATTCGGGTGCCAGGCAGGTATTAACCCTGCCGAAAGGAAAAGGGTAAGATAGATCCAGACCCGCTACCAGACACACAGCAGCAGAAGAGACTGCCGACAGCAGGGCTGCCCAACCCTGTTCCTGGAGAGATACCCTCCTGTAGGTTTTAACTCCAACCCTGTTCCTGGAGAGATACCCTCCTGTAGGTTTTAACTCCAACCCTGTTCCTGGAGAGATACCCTCCTGTAGGTTTTTGCAAAGGCCTTAAAAATGTCCCAAATCTTCTCGGCCAAATGTCAATAGTACCACACCAAATCTATACAGTTCAAACAACAATAAACAACACGCAACCTCCCTTTAACTAAAATGTCAACCCCAATACATCTACCAGGGCCATAATAGTCCAGCCACACTGAACATCAGCGAGCGCATTGGAAAAAGAGTGCTGCACTGGAACGATAGAGGGAAAATGAGTGTAAGAGAGAGAAAGGGGTCTTAGGTGTTGACTTCAGGCTTTGCAGTTGCAGCTGTTGACTTCAGGCTTTGCAGTTGCAGCTGTTGACTTCAGGCTTGCAGTTGCACCTGTTGACTCCAGGCTTGTAGTTGCACCTGTTGACTTCAGGCTTGCAGTTGCACCTGTTGACTTCAGGCTTGCAGTTGCACCTGTTGACTTCAGGCTTGCAGTTGCACCTGTTGACTTCAGGCTTTGCCCCAGTAACCGGAGAGAGTTGTACTGGCTGACTGTCCGTCGGATACACCTGATGGTTTGTTGTTTTGTTTGTCAAAGCTTCACAACAAAGTATATGTGATCATTTCATTTTAGCGAAACACATCACTGCGAGGCGTGGCTCCAAATGGAGCAATAACCGTATGGAAGACTCATACAAGGAGGGTTAGGGGGAAGGTGTTGTGGGAGATGATTGGTTGGTAGATTAAGCCAATGCCTATGCACCAAGAGTTTCTTTCTGTTTGCTAATGAAAGCCAAGTTTGACATTTGCATTTGACGTTGGCATTTGGGCAGAAGTGTCTGGGAACAAGATTAGGTCATGCCTAACTGACCTCTGTGCTCTTCCACTCCCCCCCTCAGCAAGAGGTGGTGCATGCTTTGGAGAAGGTGTGCTCCGTGCTGCCCTCCTCCCTGTCGGCCCAGTGTAAGGCCCTGATTGAGACCTACGGCCAGGACATCATTGATCTGCTGGTGCAGGAGGCCGACCCCAAGACTATCTGCACCGTGCTGGGGCTCTGCCAGGACGCCAGCCGCGCCTTCATCCGTGAGTAGAGGGTGTGTGTGTGTGTGGAAAAGTCTAGAAGGGGGGCGTGTGTGTGATCATCCATCCTGTGTGTGTTTGAGATGCATGGGACAGGCCCTGTTGGCTGTTTTTTAATGCATCCAGATTAGAGAACGACCGATATGGATTTTATTTTTTGGGCCGATACCGATTTTTGGGGGGTCAAGGAGGCCGATGGCCGATATTCAATACCATTAAACTAGAAAAGGCCAATATTGGCTCTGCCGATTTATTGGTCGTGATCCAATCCAGATGAAGTTAGATAATCCTGTTGACTCCTCCTTGTTCCTCCATCCCTCAGCGGTGTTGGACCGGTCCCAGGTCGAGGCGGGCGGCTTCTGTGACGTGTGTAAGATGGCTGTGCGTTACATCGATGGGATCCTGGAACAGAACGCCACAGAGGCTCAGATTGAAGACGCAGTCCGGAAAGCCTGCAGCTTTGTCCCAGAGGGCATCAGGAGCAAGGTGAGGATTGATGACATCTACTTGTGTTGCACTTTATGAGGAAACATTTTTATTATCGTTAGTAGATTACACTGTTTCCTGAATCCTGTTACTGCAACCTTAGACGAAGAAGAAGAATGGATATTGGATAGTAACTGCTCAACTATTAATGTTTTTTTTTGGTGTGACTGTTAACCACTCTGTCTCCTCCAGTGTGACCAGCTGGTTGAGCTGTATGAGCCTATGCTGGTTCAGCTACTGCTGCAGGTGCTGGACCCTGACTTTGTCTGCATGGTGAGCACTGGAATACATAGAGGAGGAATATATTTTAATATAGAAAAAAGGTGTCAGAAGGATGGTGATGATATGATGAGGGGGAAAAACATATATGGAAAAAAATCTAGTGTCCAAGGAGTTAATAAAGATAAATTTAGTTAACTGACTTGCCTGGTTGAATGACGAATTCAGTTAACTGACTTGCCTGGTTGAATGACGAATTCAGTTAACTGACTTGCCTGGTTGAATGACGAATTCAGTTAACTGACTTGCCTGTTTGAATGAAGAATTCAGTTAACTGACTTGCCTGGTTGAATGAAGAATTCAGTTAACTGACTTGCCTGGTTGAATGAAGAATTCAGTTAACTGACTTGCCTGATTGAATGAAGAATTCAGTTAACTGACTTGCCTGGTTGAATGAAGAATTCAGTTAACTGACTTGCCTGATTGAATGAAGAATTCAGTTAACTGACTTGCCTGGTTGAATGAAGAATTCAGTTAACTGACTTGCCTGGTTGAATGAAGAATTCAGTTAACTGGACTTGCCTGGTTGAATGAAGAATTCAGTTAACTGACTTGCCTGGTTGAATGAAGAATTCAGTTAACTGACTTGCCTGGTTGAATGAAGAATTCAGTTAACTGACTTGCCTGGTTGAATGAAGAATTCAGTTAACTGACTTGCCTGGTTGAATGAAGAATTCAGTTAACTGACTTGCCTGGTTGAATGAAGAATTCAGTTAACTGACTTGCCTGGTTGAATGAAGGGTATATGAATGCTTGTGTCTGTGTTTGTCCTGGATTACAGAAGGTGGGGGTGTGTCCCGAGGCAGTGCAAAGTCTTCTGGGTATGGAGCAGTGTAGCTGGGGACCTGCCTTCTGGTGCAAGAACATGGACGCAGCAAAACGCTGCAACGTGAGTACTCAACACAGTCTGCACTGCACCATGGACTGTTCCTGTGCACGCTGTCCGTCTTATAGTAGCACAACCGCATTGGTCAACGTTTCATTCCAGGGTTCCCTTGGAAAAATAGATTCTCATTGCAGCTCACCTGGTTAAATGAATGCAATGCAAAATTCCTGATTTTATGAAACTGTAATTTCCGGCCGTGCATTATGACTGGCCGAGAAGCACGGCTCATCCAGGTCTGTTCTGGAAATCTTGTGACGAAAGTACTCCCTGAGTATCACAGACAAGATATCTTATCTAAAGGACAAACTAGCCCCTAGGGATGGCCTATTTCTGTCTGACCTGTTGTCTGTTGTCTGTGTTCTCTCCCAGGCGGTGGCACACTGCAAGCGTCACGTGTGGGAGTAGAAGAGGATGAGGACTAACCTACACAATATGAACCTTTTTTAGGAAATTGAAGAGAAATACTGTAGCACTGCTGCTGCTTTCCTGTTTTTAAATCAAGAAATGTGTCCTGTTTTTTTTGCAATTGTCAAAGTAAATGTACTAGGCAGATTGAACTGGAGATGTTTTGGAGGGAGTGGATGCCTTTTTTTCTGACAGAAGTTTGAGTTTCTTTATGTGTGGGGGGGGGGGGGGGAGAAGGAGTGTTACAAGTTCTAGATTGAAACTACCTGACTGTTTTTTTTTGTTACTGGGATAACCTTCCAAAATGATCTGTAGTTGTACTGATTTATTGAATGGGTCTGGTTTGTGTAACGCTCTCTTTCGCTAAATGATTTTACATGTCGCACACGGTTGCTAACTGGACGAGGCTGGTTTCCCGGACACAGGTTAAGCATAGTCTTGGACTAAATAGAATGCTTGTTAGTCCAAGACTTTAATCTCTGTCCATGAAACTGGCCCATTTTAAGTATGTGAAGCAGACGGGTGGGTAAATGGATACTACTATCTGTGAAAGGAGAGGGGTTTGAGACCTCCTGTTGAATCTCAGGGTGTCCTTTGATCTCAGGCTAATTCTTTACTCAATGTATCCCCCCTCCCTTGCAGTGACTGCAACTGGAAGAACTTGCTCGGACAGTGTATCGTACCTTCCTGGGATATTTTCTGTTTTAAATTCAGTCTCCTAATGCAAGTTGATAGTATTCTTATCTCTATTTTCTTAACTGCATTGTTGGTTAAGGGCTTGTAAGTAAGCGCATGTGACAAATAAATTTGATTTGAACTTTCTCTATTTTGTAGAAACAGTTGACTTGTGTTGAATTCTTTCGGTGTACGTTTTTATTAACGAGCTGATGTGAGGAGAGTAAAGATTGGGTGCATCTGATATGGCACCCCATTCCCTATAAATACGTAACAGTGTTGCTTCCGTCCCTCTCCTTGCCCCTACCTGGGCTTGAACCAGGGACCCTCTGCACACATCGACAACAGTCACCCTCGAAGCACCGTTACCCGTCGCTCCACAAAAGCCGCGGCCCCTTGCAGAGCAAAGGGAAACAACTACTTCAAGGTCTCAGAGCGAGTGACGTCACCCGATTGAAATGCTACTAGTGCGCACCGCTAACTAGCTAGCCATTTCACACCGGTTACATACACAGTCGTATGAAAAAGTTTGGGCACCCAATGACAATTAGTAAATTTATTATGCAGCCTCAGAGGGGTGCCCAAACTTTTTCATACGACTGTATGTGCACTACTTTTCAAAAAAGGGCCCATGGGAGTCAAAAGTAGTTTCCAATGTAGGGACCAATAGAATGGTCTACTCTAAAATGGTTAGCCCCGCCACGATGCCCTGTGTGAGAGAGAAAACGAATGCATCCTCCTCCGGTTACCTCCCAAATGGCACCATATTCCCTATATAGTGCACTACTTTTGACCCAGACAGAGGGGCCCTGGTGGAAAGTAGTGCTCTATAAAGTGAACAGGGTGCTATTTGGGACGCCCCCATTTCTAACGGTATGTTTGTGGCCCTTCTAGCCTCCCTGCTTGCAGTGTCCCTCTGGGCCAATGCTCTCTCCACCCTGTTGATGCTAATTAATGTTTCTGAAGTGAACGTAAACGAACACCTATATAGCCTCAACATGTTTAAAACTAATTTTAATATCATGGGATGGTCAAGACCTTGCATTCATAGCTGTCTATGAATTTGAATGGTTACATTTCTCCAGCCCCATCCCTCAGTTTTTTACCGAAACGGCGGCACGAGCGTTTTGTTTAATCTTCTGATTGTTGCTTTAAAGATGGAGATGGCGAGCTTCTTGTGATCGATTGGATCTGTCCGATTTTTTAAAAATTTTTTTACGGTTGAAATAATATGATCCCAAATCCACTTGGTTATACTAGTAATTGACGCACACTAAAAGCAGTCTTTGAATGCTGTGGCTTTATAGGGCACATAAAGCACCCACCACATGATTTATTATAAACCCACGTGGGCTGAGCATGCTTCCCTGAAGATGCAAGACACAGTATTAGTATGAAATGTGTAATCTGCACACTGGACAAACTTGACTGAGCCACTAAAATGTTAATCATATGGGCTTCTAAGGCCCATAGTGATTAGGAATGAACACCATTAGATGGCACCACTGAGGTATAATAAGAATTGGAGACTGCGTCCAAGATGTCCGGACCGTTGCTTCCAAGGTAATCTACTCACGTTCGCATACACCGATTCAGATTCATGGGCCGGTGTCGACGCCAGATATGACTGGCCACCGAATCGGACTGACCGTCGCGCCGATCTGCTATACAGAGCCCTCCGCATTGTTACAACATTTGAGAGGCACACAGCAATGCGTTACAGAGCTTGATTTGTCCCTCTGGAGGCTCCGCATTGCGTCACATCCCTCCATACGAATCATCCGAGCACATTTTCAGATCAAGCATAGGTTGTCTTTAACAGGTGCGTGCGAAAAGGGGAGACCGATCGCGCAAGCAAGGTGCTATGGTGAGAGGCAACGGTTTGTTCTGCTAACGGGCTAGCAACCCGTTTTACTGTATACATTAGCTTGATTAGGTTCTATTTATTTTACTTTTCCATTTTGAATAAAGAAGACTTATTGGCTTCTGTCTAGCCACTATCTGAAAAGCATGTCAACAAGGTAATGACACCATAAGCTACAACATTTGCATTTGATTCTGTTTTTACCCAGTCTGCAAGTACATCTTTCGGTCTGCCTGTCCACCTAGGACAGTGGTTCCCAACCTTTTTTTCCTTGGAGCCCCCCCCCTACTTGTATCTAAGAAAAGCTGTGGTATTTGATAAGTATTCGTCAACATCGGCAAAATGGGATTTAATTTCCTCCCGAAGCATGTTCGTGTGCCGGGGTAAACTCAGTGCGTAAAGACGCAGGCACAGTGCCACCAGACTGTTTCATCAGCAGTGGAAATTGTTGTAGCTCCCCTTTTGACATTTTTTCCAACTCTGTACTCCAGTTTCCGCACAAAAGCGTCGAGAGGGTCTTTGCAGTGCATGACGTTTGATTCAGGACCCTGCATCCGCTTGTTTGTCTCGTTATAGAGAGTGAATGTATCCACTAAGTATGCCGTTTTGATCCAAAACGCATCAGTCAGCTGTTCGCACAGTGGTCGATTGTGATCTTGCAAGAATTCCTTTATATTTTCCTGCAGTTCCATAAAACGCACAAGCACTTGTCCACGTGACAACCAGCGTACCTCTGTGTGTAACAGCAGTGTTTGATGCGCTTCATCCTCACACAGCTGGGCGAACAGTCTCTTGTTAGTGGGGCGAGCCTTAATTAAGTTTACAACAGTTGCCAGGGTATTACTAAGGTCTTCTGAAAGTGTTTTTTTACTGGCCAATGCTTGGCGATGTAGCATGCAGTGGAAAATTGCGCATTCCGGGACTTTTTCCTTCAATCGGCTGTGAAATCCCTTGTTTTTGCCCATCAACGCTGCAGCCCCAGCAGTGCAGCATGCAACAATATTCTCCTAGGGCAGATTGTTGGACGAGAGATATGAGTCCATAGCTATAAAAACAAAATATATTGGCCTGTTGTTGTTGTGGCTAGATTGGTAGACATAAGAATGTCTTGTTTCAAGTCGTCACCGTCAATATATTGCACATAAACGATGAGCACGGATTCGTCTGACACTGTTGTTGTTTCATCCAACTGAATGGCAAAGGGAACATTCCTAAGCTTCTCGTGCAGCTGGTTTTGACAATCTCCAGTCATTTGATCAATTCTGTCTTTGTCAGAGAGTGGGACGGTTCTCACTTTATCACCCCACCCTGGGGCCCCCACAGCCCTCTCTACAATTTTCAGGCCGGCGGGATTTGATTAGGGGGGTAAACCTAGGTAAGGCTAAGGGGTTAAAATACTGCTACCCTAGGGTAGGCTAAATGGGGGGTAATACAGCTAACCCAAGGTTGGCGAACGGGATGTGGCTAAATCAAGTATGGTGGGTGTTTAAATACTGCTAACCCCTAGGGTTGGCTATAATGGGGTGTGTTAGAAAAACAGGCTAAACCATCGTTATGGCAACGGTCTTAACCACTAAGCTACCTGCCGCCCCAACAAGGGTACGGCTAAATGGGATGTGTTAAAATACAGCTATGGCTAAATGGGGTGTGTAGAAATACAGCTAAACCTAAGCTATGGCTAAATGGGGTGTGTAGAAATACTGCTAACCCTAGGGTATGGCTAAATGGGGTGTGTAGAAATACAGCTAAATCTAAGGTATGGCTATATGGGGTGTGTAGAAATACAGCTAAACCTAGGGTATGGCTAAACGGAGTGTCTAAAAATACAGCTAAACCTAAGGTATGGCTAAATGGGGTGTTGTGTGTGTGTGTGTGTCTGGGAAAGTGATAACGGAGGGAGGGGCTTGTTTTACTCCGATTGTGGCAGGAGGCTCAACCTACGACCCCGACTGTTTCATTTCAGACAGCAGAATTTGTTATGTTACATCCAAACAGAACTAGCCAATTGAGTTATTTACAGTGAACACCCGTTGACACTGAGTGAGAGGGATGCGCGCCGGAAACAGATCATAACTTTTTTTCTAATCACGATAATTACACAAAATACTCAATCGTATTCTGAAAATTCTCCATATTCATTACAATACTTGTTTTGTATGAGTACTCGGTACACCCCTAATGTCAAGCATGTGGAGTAACGATTTAGGATTCAGAGTTTTCACATTTTACATGTAAACATTTTGTGAGCTCTAAATCAAAATGCATTTTATCTGCCTTCCCAAGGAAAACTAGTTAGAAAATGTAACACATTTGTATAGAAAATAGGTGTATCTGAACAAAGAACCATTGCTTTGTTGACAATATAATCTGGCAGCACAGATTATTGTTTGATTTGATAAAGGGCGCTCCTCTCACCGATATTGCCTGGTCACAGGTAGTTTCGGTTTGTGAACAATAAATCCACTATGCATTATGGGGGGAATTCCGACCCGAGTTAAAGGAACGTAATTCCCTTTTATGCACTTGTTATTTATTTATTTACAATTTGTAACCTGTTAAATATTAGCCACTATCGGCAGCCACCGTCAGTTACACCGACATACATTTATAACTGTCACTGACTTTGGGATTGGTATTTTATTAGGATCCCCATTAGCCGCTGCTAAAAGCAGCAGCAACTCTTCCTGGGGTCCACATGAAACATGACATAGTACAGAACATTATTAGTCAACGACTGAACTACATACATTTAAAACATCACACACAGCCTACAGTGAGGGAAAAAAGTATTTGATCCCCTGCTGATTTTGTACGTTTGCCCACTGACAAAGACATGATCAGTCTATAATTTTAATGGTAGGTTTATTTGAACAGTGAGAGACAGAATAACAACAGTACATAGTACTTTTCCATATGCACAAAAAGCGTATTTCTCTCAAATTATGTTGCCAAATTTGTTTACTTTTACATTTTTAGTCATTTAGCAGACACTCTTATCCAGAGCGACTTAAAATGTAGTGAGTGCATACTTAAATTTTTTTTTTTTTCATACATCCCTGTTACTGAACATTTCTCCTTTGCCAAGATAATCCATCCACCTGACAGGTGTGGCATATCAAGATGATTAAACAGCATGATCATTACACAAGTTCACTTTGTGCTGGGGACAATAAAAGGCCACTCTAAAATGTGCAGTTTTGTCACACAACACAATGCCACAGATATCTCAAGTTTTGAGGGAGCGTGCAATTGGCATGCTGACTGAAGGAATGTCTACTAGAGCTGTTGCCAGATATTTGAATATTCATTTCTCTACCACAAGCCGCCTCCAACGCCGTTTTAAATCATTTGGCAGTACGTCCAACCGGGCTCACAACCGCAAACCACGTGTAACCACTCCAGCCCAGGACCTCCACATCCAGCTTCTTCACCTGTGGGATCGTCTGAGACCAGTCACCCGGGCAGCTGATGAAACTGAGGAGTATTTCTGTTTGTAATAATGCCCCTTTGTGAGGAAAAACTCATTCTGATTGGCAGGTCCTATGCCCTCCCAGGCCCACCCATGGCTGCGCCCCTGCCCAGTCATGTGAAATCCATAGATTAGGGCCTAATTTATTTATTTCAATTGACTGATTTCCTTATGTGAACTGTAACTCAGTAAAATTGTTGCATTTATATTTTTGTTCAGTACCTGGGGACTGTGAAAAGTCCTCTGGCTGCAGTACTGATGACTTTAGTGTTAAGTTTCCTTACGTTCTGCATCATTCCATTAGCCTACATCATTAGTTTATTTATTTTATCTGTCACGTTCCTGAGAATGTACTGCCAAATGATTTAAAACAGCGTTGGAGGCGGCTTGTGGTAGAGAAATGAATATTCAAATATCGCTAGCAATAGTGGCTGATTATTAGTCTAACATTACAAAGATGTGCAATAATTTGGGACATGTAACCTATTTGAATCATTATGGAACAGCAGGCCATACACCTAGCAGATTAAACCTAGAGCCGGGCGCACGGTTCACCACGACTGGACCATTGTCATCACAGTTCCATGATTTAGTGAAGATTATTAGGGTAGATTTTTAGGACTACTGTTCAACAACCTCTATTGTACACTTTTTATCACCTTCCAATATTTAATGGATTGAATATGGCAAACTTTTAGAATGACTCAAACCACTGTATTTTTTGATTCACCAATATATTTAGTGCGTAAAAGGCTGTCCCAAACCATTTTATTTATGTATTTATTCATAAATACTTTCCTAACCCTAAATAATACACATGATCATAGTATGTTTTTAGTCTACCAGTTGGTGCTGGAAAGGAGCCGAATATGGCTTCCTGTCATTGATCCCTATATTCTGAACATTCTCTCCATATATTCTAGTGAGTCTGTGTCAAGAACATTCAAATTAAAAAAAAAGGTACACCAAAATCAAAGGGATGGCTTTAGATAAATGTACATAAAAACCCTACTGAAGTAAAACTCCATGAGAAAATCTGTAGGCCAGCAAGTGGGAGGGTTTTCAGCGTGCAAGGGAACCACGCCTGCAAAGTCCGTTACGCACCTGCATAAGGTAAGTCTGAATACCAACGACTGAGAAGTGTACGTTTCCTACGTCTGAATCAGGCCCTATGTGGGTTGAATGCAGAACATTTAACACAGAATAACACAATGAATAAAAAGTCCCATGATGGTAGTGACTGCCCATTACTGCTTATCACTTATTAACCATCATTTATTCACATCACTTTAATAAAATATTTCATTTGGGTAATATTTCAGTTGTTGTGCATATACACACACATTTTTATTTTATTCCATGTCGTTATGTCATCTGTGTTCTCATGCAGTAGCAGCCAGCCTGCCTTCTAGCTCTGTTCTCTCCAACGAGTCATCCTATATATTAGCTGCATATAGAGGGTTGGCTGGCAACATCACCAAAATGATGCGTGCACAGAAACACTGTGTGGTGTTAAGCAGGGCCGGCTCCAGTCATAAGCTGTCGCTTAGGGACCCAGGCCCTAGACCTGGCAACCCTGGGCATACAGTTGAAGTCAGAAGTTTACATACACTCAATTAGGATTTGGTAGCATTGCCTTTAAATTGTTTAACTTGGGTCAAACGTTTCGGGTAGCCTTCCACAAGCTTCCACAATAAGTTGGGTGAATTTTGGCACATTCCTCCTGACAGAGCTGGTGTAACTGAGTCAGGTTTGTAGGCCTCCTTGCTCACACACGCTTTTTCAGTTCTGCCCACAGATTTTCTATAGGATTGAGGTCAGGGCTTTGTGATGGCCACTCCAATACCTTGACTTTGTTGTACTTAAGCCATTTTGCCACAATTTTGGAAGTATGCTTGGGGTCATTGTCCATTTGGAAGACCCATTCGCGACCAAGCGTTAACTTCCTGACGGATGTCTTGAGATGTTGCTTCATAATTTTCCTTCCTCATGATGCCATCTATTTTGTGAAGTGCACCAGTCCCTCCTGCAGCAAAGCACCCCCACAACATGATGCTGCCACACCGTGCTTTACGGTTGGGATGGTGTTCTTCGGCTTGCAAACTCCCCCTTTTTCCTCCAAACATAACAATGGTCATTATGGCCAAATAGTTATATTTTTGTTTCATCAGATCAGAGGATATTTCTCCAAAAAGTACAATCTTTGTCCCCATGTGCAGTTGCAAACCATAGTCTGGCTTTTTTATGGCGGTTTTGGAGCAGTGGCTTCTTCCTTGCTGAGCGGCCTTTCAGGTTATGTCGATATAGGACTCGTTTTACTGTGGATATAAATACTTTTGTACCTGTTTCCTCCAGCATCTTCACAAGGTCATTTGCTGTTGTTCTGGGATTGATTTGCACTTTTCGCACCAAAGTACGTTCATCTCTAGGAGACAGAACGCGTCTCCTTCCTGAGCGGTATGACGGCTGCGTGGTCCCATGGTGTTTATACTTGCATACTATTGTTTGTACAGATGAACGTGGTACCTTCAGGCATTTGGAAATTGCTCCCAAGGATGAACCAGACTTGTGGAGGTCTACACATTTTTTTCTGAGGTCTTGGCTGATTTTCCCATGATGTCAAGCAAAGAGGCACTGAGTTTGAAGGTAGGCCTTGAAATACATCCACAGGTACACCTCCAATTGACTCAAATGATGTCAATTAGCCTATCAGAAGCTTCTAAAGCCATGACATCATTTTCTGGAATTTTCCAAGCTGTTTAAAGGCGCAGTCAACTTAGTCTATGTAAACTTCTGACCCACTGGTAGTGAATTATACGTGAAAATAATCTGTCTGTAAACAATTGTTGGAAAAATTACTTGTGTCATGCACAAAGTAGATGTCCTAACCGACTTGCCAAAACTATAGTTTGTTAACAAGAAATTTGTGGAGTGGTTGAAAAACAAGTTTTAATGACTCCAACCTAAGTGTATGTAAACTTCTGACTTCAACTGTATGTGAACGTGAGTAATTACCTTGAAAACAACGGTCGGCCATCTTGGATGCAGTCTCCAGTTCTTATTACACCTCTGTGATGATAACCATGATGATGATGATGGGTGGAAGGGAGAAGAACTGACAAAAGGATTTACTGGAAACATTTATTATCAAACTATGAAATCCAGTTTTCAAAACAGGAAATGTAGATGACTTGTTATATTGCATGGGGAGAACTGAACCGACTGTGTACTGCCTTTAGTCAAATCACAAAAACAATCCATACATTTATGTGGGTGTCGGGTATCGCCGGCTAATGCTTTGATCTGATTGAATCTAGGCTTTACTCCTCCTCTTCCTCAGATACAGTGGACTACGAGGACAGAGAAGTCCAGCCAGGTCGCTCAAGATTCACTGCGAAATTCGACATCCGTCCAGGTAAGCAGGACGTCAGGCGACGTCTCCTCCTCCTCCTCTTCCTCCTCCTCTTCCTCCTCCTCCTCCTCTTCAGATGAAGTGTACTATCAACACAGAGAAGGCCGATCCCACAGCCAGTCCCAACGTCAGGAAGAAGCTCATCACCACGCCTGCGGGCTCCGCCAGGTCCCGTGTCACCACCTTGGGCCCGTAGATCATGGGCAGGGTGCCCAGGTACCCGTTGGAGACGCCCAGGAGACAGATGAAGACGACTGGGAAGAGGTCATGGCTGAAGAGGACCGTGTGAAGGTGGTCTCTGGGCTGGAGGTTACATAAAGAAAATATTATTAAGACAAGTTGCTATAAGATAAACTAAATTTAAAAAACAAAAGGCTGCATCTCTATGGGCCCTGGTCAACAGTAGTGCATTATGTATAGGGAATAGGGTTCCATTTGGGGAATAGGGTTCCATTTGGGGAATAGGGTTCCATTTGGGGAACAGGGTTCCATTTGGGGAACAGGGTTCCATTTGGGGAACAGGGTTCCATTTGGGGAATAGGGTTCCATTTGGGGAATAGGGTTCCATTTGGGGAACAGGGTTCCATTTGGGGAACAGGGTTCCATTTGGGGAACAGGGTTCCATTTGGGGAACAGGGTTCCATTTGGGGAATAGGGTTCCATTTGGGGAACAGGGTTCCATTTGGGGAACAGGGTTCCATTTGGGGGAACAGGGTTCCATTTGGGGAACAGGGTTCCATTTGGGGAACAGGGTTCCATTTGGGGAATAGGGTTCCATTTGGGGAATAGGGTTCCATTTGGGGAACAGGGTTCCATTTGGGGAATAGGGTTCCATTTGCTTCAATCGCAACAGTGCTGGCCTTTTTGGTAGTTACAGGGGGAAAAAGAAGCTAATAGTCAATGTCATAACACATAAGTGTATTATAAAGCTTTATAAAGGACGATATAAAGCAGTATACGCACGTACTTCATAGAAGGCGTTACTAAAAAGACTATTAAGACGTGTTGCAATAAGAAACCTTTTTTTTTTTTTTTTAACAAAGCTTTAATTGCAACTTCTATTCAACCGAGTGCTGGTCTTTTTTAAATCTTTGATGTGATCGACTGTCCAAGCCTGGTCCCAGATCTGTTTTCTCCTTCTATAGCCTGGTCCCAGATCTGTTTGTGCTCTTGCCAACTTCATTGTGGTCATTGTCTAGCCAAGTGACAATGAGTGACAAGGAGTTGGCATGATAGCACAGACAGACTGGCACTCAGGCTAATCGACTGTTGGCTCCTCCAAGCACCATTTAACTTATTTCCACTAGAGGACAAGAGTTGAGGACGTTCTCTCCCTTCTTTACCTGGTAGTTGCATAACATGAGGAGAGGCACCAGGACTGTCCGGGAGAGGACCAGGGAAGGTAGGACTCTACTGGTGGGGCCTGGAACCTGCAGCCAGGCCGTGGCCTGACGACCACAGAAGTCAGCCACGTTATAGAGGAAGAAGCTGGAGAGAAAAGAATGACTTTATTATCCCCCCCATCTCAGAGTAGGAGTGATGATCTAGGATCAGGTCCTCCCTGTCCATGTAATCCATTTCATTACGATCTAAAAGGCTGAAAACTGATCCTGGATCAGCACTCCTCTATGAATACAGGCCCTGTGCAACATGTGATGGCATATCAAGTATAGATACAGGAAGCGTAGATACACCAAGACCACACTCAATGAGCTGTATAAGGCCATAAGCAAACAAGAAATTGCTCACCCAGAGGTGGCGCTCCTAGTGGCCGGGGACTTTAATGCAGGGAAACTTAAATCCATTTTACCTCATTTCTACCAGCATGTTAAATGTGCAACCAGACAAAAAAATAAATAAACTCTAGGCCACCTTTACTCCACACACAGAGACGCATACAAAGCTCTCCCTCGCCCTCCATTTGGCTAATCTGACCATAATTATATCCTCCTGATTCCTGCTTACAAGCAAAAACTTAAAATCAGGAAGCACCAGTGACTCAGTGAATAAAAAAGTGGTCAGATGATGCAGATGCTAAGCTACAGGACTGTTTTGCTAGCACAGACTGGAATATGTTCCGGGATTCATCTGATGGCATTGAGGAGTACACCACATCAGTCACCGGCTTCATCAATAAGTGCATCGACGACATCGTCCCCACAGTGACCGTACGTACATACTCCACTGAGCTAAAGGGTAGAGCTACCGCTTTCAAGGAGCGGGATTCTAACCCGGACGCTTATAAGAAATCCCGCTATGCCCTCCGACGAACCATCAAACAGGCAAAGAGTCAATACAGGACTAAGATTGAATCGTACTACACCGGCTCTGACGCTCGTCGGATGTGGCAGACTATTTGCATTGACCCCCCCCCCCCCCCCCCCCCTTGTTTTTACACTGCTGCTACTCGCTGTTTATTATCTATGCATAGTCACTCTACCCCTACCTACGTGTACAAATTACCTGGACTAACCTGTACCCCCGCACATTGACTCGGTACCAGTATCCCCTGTATATAGCCTCCTTATTGTTATTTTATTGTGTTATTTAGTTTATTTAGTAAATATTTTCTTAAATCTTATTTTTCTTAAAACTGCATTGTTGGTTAAGGGCTTGTCAGTAAGCATTTCACTGTAAGGTCTACACCTGTTGTATTCGGCGCATGTGACAAATAAAATGTGTTAATCGACCAGACAAGATAAAGAGCTGAATCAATCCGATTGTCACCTGGTGAGTGGGGTGAAGTATGTTGTGGTCCAGGGGCTGCCACTGTTCCGGTTAACAGACTGAGAAGAGAAGACAACATCAGATAAGATAACATAAAAATACAATTTTCTTAGAAGATAGCAGCACTGTTTACCCCCCTTTGTTAATAATTTTTACTGCCATTGTTAATAAGGCGACGTCTTAGTTCTTCTACCTGGATCCCAGAGGAGACGGCGGGGAACACCATTATAGAGATGAAGAATACGTAGAAGACGCTGAGACCCAGGATCCACGTCTTCTGAAGGATGGGTTTTAGAGGAGGGACGGACACGGAGGAGACGGTGCTCGCTGGGGCTCCCTCCTGGCCGTCCGCCTCACCACGGGGCTCCGGTAGGGTCGCCGCACTGCTGTACTCTGCTGACAGCATGTAGTGCCTGAGGAAGGGAAACGGTTTTTCGGGCAAGTACGCAACATTTTAAAAATAATGTATCATCTATGCAATAACATTTGGTAACACCTGTAGGTATATGTTTTATTACTTGCTATAACTATGTATAAGCCCTTTATAATGTATTATTATAAAAAGGTCTATAATATGTTGTCTCTGTATGTAATTGTGTAATTTGACCTTATAGCCCTTGTAATGTATTAGAACAAATAGAAGTTGATGCTGAATGGTAAACAATGTCCAAAAAGCCTTTGTGCAAAAAAACGTCCTGCTTTACTTTCCCAGAAATGCTTTTTCTGCATTATTTGCTGTTCAGCATCAACGTATCTTTGTTCTATAATATCCCTTCCCATTATCTAAGAGCACCTCATGGTATATTAGACCTACACTACCGGTCAAAGGTTTTAGAACGCCTACTCATTCCAGGGTTTTTCTTTATTTTATTTTTTTACTATTTTCTACATTGTAGAATAATAGTGAAGACATCAAAACTATGAAATAACACATATGGAATCATGTAGTAACCCAAAAAAAAGTGTTAAACAAATCAAAATATATTATATTGAGAGAATGCCAAGAGTATGCAAAGCTGTCATCAAGGCAAAGGGTGGCTATTTGAAGAATCTCAAATATAAAATACATTTTCATTTCTTTAACACTTTTTTGGTTACTACATGATTCCATGTGTGTTATTTCATAGTTTTGATGTCTTCACTATTAATCTACAATGTAGAAAATAGTAACAAATAAAGAAAAATCCTTAATGAGTAGGTGTCCTAAAACCTTTGACCGGTAGTGTATAACCTGAGAACGTGTCTCTACTGCTAATGTGTTGTTGATATTGATGCCTTTTGGGTCAACAGAGCATTCTGTGAGAAGTTTATTTTTTTTGACAAAGGCTCATATCAAAAGGTTTTAATGAACAGAAACTGGGAAATGTTTATTTTAGGGAACACCTCAGTATGAATAAAGCCTGTTTCCTTGGTTTCGGGAGAGGGGACTAGTTTCATTTAACTGTGGTTTGCCTGACCACAGCAGGACAAAACTCACAGAGTCACTACAACACAGTTCCTCATCTTCTCGCCCCACATTCCTCTCAGCCTCTGACGCACGTTATTGGACAGTCTATAATTAGGTGTTAGCAGTAACGATGTTGCCTTCGGTAGCCTAGTTAGCGTGACATATGATGAGTGTTATTGCTGTGCACTGGCCTGAGTGTGTGTTCTTGCTTGCTTGTGTGTGTGTGTGTGTGTGTGTGTGTGTGTGTGTGTGTGTGTGTGTGTGTACCTACTGTGAGTAAGCCAGTTTGGGCAGCAGCAGTGTGTGTGTGTGTGTGTGTGTGTGTGTGTGTACCTACTGTGAGTAAGCCAGTTTGGCAGCAGCAGTGTGTGTGTGTGTGTGTGTGTGTGTGTGTGTGTGTGTGTGTGTGTGTGTGTGTGTGTGTGTGTGTGTGTGTGTGTGTGTGTGTGTGTGTGTGTGTACCTACTGTGAGTAAGCCAGTTTGGGCAGCAGCAGTGTGTGTGTGTGTGTGTGTGTGTGTGTGTGTGTGTGTGTGTACCTACTGTGAGTAAGCCAGTTTGGGCAGCAGCAGTGTGTGTGTGTGTGTGGTGTGTGTGGTGTGTGTACCTACTGTGGAGTAAGCCAGTTTGGGCAGCAGCAGTGTGTGTGTGTTGTGTGGTGTGGTGACCTACTGTGAGTAAGCCAGTTTGGGCAGCAGCAGGGTGTGTTGTGTGTGGTGTGGTTACCTACTGTGAGTAAGCCAGTTTGGGCAGCAGCAGGGTTGTGTGTGTGTTTTGGTGTGGTGTGTGACCTACTGTGAGTAAGCCAGTTTGGGCAGCAGCAGGGTTGTGTGTGGTGTGGGTGTGGTGGTGTTGGTACCTACTGTGAGTAAGCCAGTTTGGGCAGCAGCAGGTGTGTGTGTGTGTGTGTGTGTGTGGTGTGTGTGGTACCTACTGTGAGTAAGCCAGTTTGGGCAGCAGCAGTGTGTGTGGTGTGTGGTGTGGTGTGTGTGTACTACGTGAGTAAGCCAGTTTGGCGCAGCAGTGTGTGTGTGTGTGGTGTGTGTGTGTGTGACCTACTGTGAGTAAGCCAGTTTGGGCAGCAGCAGTGTGTGGGGTGTGTGTGTGTGTGTGTTGTGTGTGTGTTGGTGTGTGTTTTGTGTGGTGTGTGTGTGTGTACCTACTGTGAGTAAGCCAGTTTGGGCAGCAGCAGTGTGGTGTGGTGTGTGTGTGTGTGTGTGTGTGTGTGTGTGTGTGTGTGTGTGTGTGTACTATGTGTGTGATGGTGTGGTGTGTGTGGTGTGTGTGGTGTGGTGTGTGTGTGTGTGTGTATATGTGTGTGTGTGTGTGTGTGTGTGTGTGTGTGTGTGTGTGTGTGTGTATATGTGTGTGTGTGTGTGTGTGTGTGGGTGTGTGTGTGTGTGGTTGTGTGTGTGTGTGTGTGTGTGTGTGTGTGTGTGTGTGTTGTGTGGTGTGGTGTGTTGTGTGTGTGTGTGTGTGTGGTGTGTGTGTGTGTGTGTGTGTGTGTGTGTGTGTGTGTGTGTGTGTGTGGTGTGTTGTGTGTGTGTGTGTGTGTGTGTACCCTACTGTGAGTACAGCCAGTTTGGGCAGCAGCAGGTACATGATGATACAGAGAAGGATGAAGACGTCAGCGGGTCAGGAAGTAAGCTAGAGCGCTGTCAGTCACATCTTTAGCTGCTGCCAGGTCCACTATGGAGGCGACTGCACTGATAGTCCCTCCCATAGCCTGGCCTGGGAGAGAGGGGGAGGGGGAGAGAGGGGGAGAGAGGGGGGGGAGAGAGGAGGGGGGAGGGAGGGGAGGGGGGAGGGAAGGAGGTAGGGGAGGGGGGGAGAGGAGGGAGAGGAGAGGGGGAGAGGAGAGGAAGAGAGGGGGGGGGGGGGGTAGGGGGGGGAGGGGGGAGAGGAGGAGGGGGAGGGGGTGGAGGGGTGGGGGAGAGGGAGGGAGAGGGGGGGGGGAGGGTGGAGAGAGGGGGAGGGGTGGGCGATGAGGGGGAGATAGAGGGAGGGGGGGGATAGAGGGGGGGGATAGAGGGAGGGGGATAGAGGGAGAGGGGATAGGGGGTAGAGGGGAGGGGATAGAGGGAGGGGGGGATAGAGGGGGGTAGGGGGGATAGAGGGGAGGGGATGGGGATAGGGGGGGGGTGGGGGGGGATAGAGAGGGGAGAGGGGAGGGGTAGAGGGATGGGGGGGATAGAGGGGAGGGGATAGAGGGGAGGGGATAGAGGGAGGGTGGGGGTGGGGATGAGGGAGGGGGATAGAGGGGAGGGGATAGAGGGTGGGGGGGATAGAGGGGAGGGGATAGAGGGGTGGGGATAGAGGGGAGGGGATAGAGGGAGGGATGGGGAGGGGATAGAGGGATGGGGGGATAGAGGGGGGGGATAGAGGGGGGATGGGGGGGGATAGAGGGGAGGGGATAAGGAGGGTGGGATAGAGGGGGGATAGAGGGGAGGGGATAGAGGGGATGGGGATAGAGGGGAGGGGATAGAGGGGATGGGGATAGAGGGGAGGGGATAGAGGGATGGGGATAGAGGGGGGGATAGAGGGGGGGGGATAGAGGGGTGGGGATAGAGGGAGGGGATAGAGGGGAGGGAGTAGAGGGATGAGGGGGGGTGGGGGATAGAGGGGAGGGGATAGAGGATGGGGAAGAGGGGAGGGGATAGGGGTGGGGATAGAGGGGAGGGGAAAAGAGGGATGGGGAAGAGGGGAGGGGATAGAGGGAGGGATAGAGGGGAGGGGATAAGGGAGGGGATGGGGAGTGGAGAGGGGAGGGGTGGGGTGATAGAGGGGAGGGGATATAGGGAGGGGGTGGGGATAGAGGGGAGGGGGATAGAGGGAGGGGTGGGGATAGAGGGGAGGGGATAGAGGGGATGGGGGGATAGAGGGAGGGGATAGGGGGGGGGGGGTGAGGAGGTGGGGATAGAGGGGGGGGGAGAGGGGAGGGGGGGGATAGGGAGGGGTGGGGATAGAGGGAGGGGATAGAGGGATGGGGTGGATAGAGGGAGGGGATAGAGGGATGGGGATAGGGGGGGGGAAGGGGGGGGGATAGAGGGGAGGGGATAGAGGGGAGGGGATAGAGGGTGGGGGGGATAAGAGGGGGAGGGGGGATAGAGGGATGGGGTGGGGGATAGAGGGGGGGGATAGAGGGGTGGGGATAGAGGGGTTGGGGATAGAGGGGTGGGGATAGAGGGGAGGGGATAGAGGGAAGGGGGGGGATAGAGGGGGGGGATAAAGGGGGGGGGGGATAGAGGGATGGGGGAGGGGATAGAGGGGGGGTGGGGATAGAGGGGTGGGGATAGAGGGATGGGGAGAGGTAGAGGGGTGGGGATAGAGGTGAGGGGGAGAGGAGGGGAGGGAAGAGGGGGGATAGAGGGGGATGGGGATAGAGGAGGGGGATAGAGGGGATGGGGGTGGGGATAAGGATGGGGAGGGGATAGAGGGTGGGGTGGGATAGAGGGATGGGGGGGATAGAGGGGTGGGGATGAGGGGGGATAGAGGGGTGGGATAGAGGGATGGGGGGTGGGGATAGAGGGATGGGGATAGAGGGATAGAGGGATGGGGTGGGATACGAGGATGGGGGTGGGGATAGAGGGATGGGGGGGTGGGGATAGAGGGATGGGGTGGGGATAGAGGGATGGGGGGGTGGGGGATTAGAGGGATGGGATGGGGGTGGGGGATAGAGGGATGGGGGTGGGGATAGAGGGATGGGGGTGGGGGATAGAGGGATGGGGTGGGGATAGAGGGGTGGGGTGGGGGATAGGGGGTGGGGTGGGGGATAGAGGAATGGGGGTGGGGGATAGAGGGGTGGGGGGGATAGAGGGATGGGGGGGGGGATAGAGGGATGGGGTGGGGATAGAGGGATGGGGGTGGGGATAGAGGGATGGGGGGTGGGGATAGAGGGATGGGGAGGGGGATAGAGGTAGAGAGGGGAGGAGGGAGAGAGGGCAAAAGGACTGACTGTGTCATGCTGTTTATAGAATGATGTCTGGATGAAGGATGAGAAGCATGTCTAATCAGATGAGTGTTTACTCTAAAGTTGTTTGGTATGAAAGCCCCGGCTAAGTGGCGTCAATGTAAGCAGTGATGGGACAGATACAGATAGTCTCAAAGGGAACAGTTTGGGTATGCTATGGATTTTTTATCATGTAGACTAGACTGTTGGGTACATGATATTGGCATGCTAAGTATGGTACGTAGAGAGATTAATCTTCTGAATATGAGAGCCTTCGTGTGTGTGTGTGTGTGTGTGTGTGTGTGTGTGTGTGTGTGTGTGTGTGTGTGTTTGGTGTGTAATACCTGATATGAGTGCCTGTGATATCCTCATTGGGAAATGTCCGCTGATCCCGAACACAGAGCCAGAGAAGAGGTTGGAGGCCCCACTGACCAGAGCAACACTGGCTAAAGTCCCAAAGAAGAACTGGTCTCTACAGCCAGATGAATCCACCTGTACATTAGGATCAACTTTAATGTCCTGCGGTGAAAACCGTCTTAGACACACGTACATTCAAGTCTTGACATTTACACTGCATGTTATATATATATACACACACACACACACACACACACACTTACATATACACACACATATATATTTACATATACAGTGGGGGAAAAAAGTATTTAGTCAGCCACCAATTGTGCAAGTTCTCCCACTTAAAAATATGAGAGAGGCCTGTAATTTTCATCATAGGTACACGTCAACTATGACAGACAAATTGAGATTTTTTTTCTCCAGAAAATCACATTGTATGATTTTTAATGAATTTATTTGCAAATTATGGTGGAAAATAAGTATTTGGTCACCTACAAACAAGCAAGATTTCTGGCTCTCACAGACCTTTAACTTCTTCTTTAAGAGGCTCCTCTGTCCTCCACTCGTTACCTGTATCAATGGCACCTGTTTGAACTTGTTATCAGTATAAAAGACACCTGTCCACAACCTCAAACAGTCACACTCCAAACTCCACTATGGCCAAGACCAAAGAGCTGTCAAAGGACACCAGAAACAAAATTGTAGACCTGCGCCAGGCTGGGAAGACTGAATCTGCAATAGGTAAGCAGCTTGGTTTGAAGAAATCAACTGTGGGAGCAATTATTAGGAAATGGAAGACATACAAGACCACTGATAATCTCCCTCGATCTGGGGCTCCACGCAAGATCTCACCCCGTGGGGTCAAAATGATCACAAGAATGGTGAGCAAAAATCCCAGAACCGCACGGGGGGACCTAGTGAATGACCTGCAGAGAGCTGGGACCAAAGTAACAAAGCCTACCATCAGTAACACACTACGCCGCCAGGGACTCAAATCCTGCAGTGCCAGACGTGTCCCCCTGCTTAAGCCAGTACATGTCCAGGCCCGTCTGAAGTTTGCTAGAGTGCATTTGGATGATCCAGAAGAGGATTGGGAGAATGTCATATGGTCAGATGAAACCAAAATAGTAAAAACTCAACTCGTCGTGTTTGGAGGACAAAGAATGCTGAGTTGCATCCAAAGAACACCATACCTACTGTGAAGCATGGGGGTGGAAACATCATGCTTTGTGGCTGTTTTTCTGTAAAGGGACCAGGACGACTGATCCGTGTAAAGGAAAGAATGAATGGGGCCATGTATTGTGAGATTTTGAGTGAAAACCTCCTTCCATCAGCAAGGGCATTGAAGATGAAACGTGGCTGGGTCTTTCAGCATGACAATGATCCAGAACACACCGCCCGGGCAACGAAGGAGTGGCTTCGTAAGAAGCATTTCAAGGTCCTGGAGTGGCCTAGCCAGTCTCCAGATCTCAACCCCATAGAACATCTTTGGAGGGAGTTGAAAGTCTGTGTTGCCCAGCGACAGCCCCAAAACATCACTGCTCTAGAGGAGATCTGCATGGAGGAATGGGCCAAAATACCAGCAACAGTGTGTGAAAACCTTGTGAAGACTTACAGAAAACGTTTGACCTGTGTCATTGCCAACAAAGGGTATATAACAAAGTATTGAGAAACTTTTGTTATTGACCAAATACTTATTTTCCACCATAATTTGCAAATAAATTAATTAAAAATCCTACAATGTGATTTTCTGGATTTTTTTCCTCATTTTGTCTGTCATAGTTGACGTGTACCTATGATGAAAATTACAGGCCTCTCTCATCTTTTTAAGTGGGAGAACTTGCACAATTGGTGGCTGACTAAATACTTTTTTCCCCCACTGTATATATATATAAAAAAATAACACACCTTGACCATGACCGTGGTCACTATGAACACAGCCAAGATGACAATCAGAGAGGACAGGATACGCACCGCTGGGGACAACCTGAGAGAGAGACAGAGACAGACTGAGGGATTGGCGTCACTCCGCTGGGGACAACCTGAGAGAGAGACAGACTGAGGGATTGGCGTCACTCTGTTCTATCACTGTGTTCCCTTGCATCAGAGAGGCAAGTTGAAGTTCGGTAGCACACACAGATCTGGGATCAGGCTTACCCAAGCCTTTAGCAGAGGAGATTCAGCAACTCTTGGAGGACAATGGATGTTGATCAAAGTAAACCCCTGAAGAAGGCCAAAAGCCGAAACGTGTTGGTTTTAGGTAGCAGCAGCGATCCCTTCCCTTAGCCCTTACATTTAAAGGTCCAAACACGGCAGGACTGTAAAATAAAAAGGTCACTGTGTGGAAGGATACTGTTCCTTTACATCCTGAGCTGACTCCATCCATACCTGGTACAGAGCAGACCGTCTGTTTGGCTGAGAGAACACATGACCTCACAGGCTCCAGTGTTTGTAGCCAGGTCTATTGATCGGCTGACTGAATCTGGTCCCTCTAATGATGTCCTCTAAAGGGGGATTTGGCCTCAGTTTGTTTTGTATGTGCATGTTACCTGTTAACTAGTAGGTAGTTGACTACCAGACAGAGGACCGACGGCACAGTGGAGGTTACCTGTTAACTAGTAGGTAGTTGAGTACCAGACAGAGGACCGGCGGCACAGTGGAGGTTACCTGTTAACTAGTAGGTAGTTGACTACCAGACAGAGGACCGACGGCACAGTGGAGGTTACCTGTTAACTAGTAGGTAGTTGAGTACCAGACAGAGGACACAGTGGAGGTTACCTGTTAACTAGTAGGTAGTTGAGTACCAGACAGAGGACCGACGGCACAGTGGAGGTTACCTGTTAACTAGTAGGTAGTTGAGAACCAGACAGAGGACACAGTGGAGGTTACCTGTTAACTAGTAGGTAGTTGAGTACCAGACAGACGGCACAGTGGAGGTTACCTGTTAACTAGTAGGTAGTTGAGTACCAGACAGACGGCACAGTGGAGGTTACCTGTTAACTAGTAGGTAGTTGAGTACCAGACAGAGGACACAGTGGAGGTTACCTGTTAACTAGTAGGTAGTTGAGTACCAGACAGAGGACACAGTGGAGGTTACCTGTTAACTAGTAGGTAGTTGAGTACCAGACCGACGGCACAGTGGAGGTTACCTGTTAACTAGTAGGTAGTTGAGTACCAGACAGACGGCACAGTGGAGGTTACCTGTTAACTAGTAGGTAGTTGAGTACCAGACAGACGGCACAGTGGAGGTTACCTGTTAACTAGTAGGTAGTTGAGTACCAGACAGAGGACCCAGTGGAGGTTACCTGTTAACTAGTAGGTAGTTGAGTACCAGACAGAGGACACAGTGGAGGTTACCTGTTAACTAGTAGGTAGTTGAGTACCAGACAGAGGACACAGTGGAGGTTACCTGTTAACTAGTAGGTAGTTGAGTACCAGACAGACGGCACAGTGGAGGTTACCTGTTAACTAGTAGGTAGTTGAGTACCAGACAGAGGACACAGTGGAGGTTACCTGTTAACTAGTAGGTAGTTGAGTACCAGACAGACGGCACAGTGGAGGTTACCTGTTAACTAGTAGGTAGTTGAGTACCAGACAGAGGACACAGTGGAGGTTACCTGTTAACTAGTAGGTAGTTGACTACCAGACAGAGGACCGACGGCACAGTGGAGGTTACCTGTTAACTAGTAGGTAGTTGAGTACCAGACAGAGGGCACAGTGGAGGTTACCTGTTAACTAGTAGGTAGTTGAGTACCAGACAGAGGACACAGTGGAGGTTACCTGTTAACTAGTAGGTAGTTGAGTACCAGACAGAGGACACAGTGGAGGTTACCTGTTAACTAGTAGGTAGTTGAGTACCAGACAGAGGACCCAGTGGAGGTTACCTGTTAACTAGTAGGTAGTTGAGTACCAGACAGAGGACACAGTGGAGGTTACCTGTTAACTAGTAGGTAGTTGAGTACCAGACAGAGGACCCAGTGGAGGTTACCTGTTAACTAGTAGGTAGTTGAGTACCAGACAGAGGACCGACGGCACAGTGGAGGTTACCTGTTAACTAGTAGGTAGTTGAGTACCAGACAGAGGACACAGTGGAGGTTACCTGTTAACTAGTAGGTAGTTGAGTACCAGACAGAGGACACAGTGGAGGTTACCTGTTAACTAGTAGGTAGTTGAGTACCAGACAGAGGACACAGTGGAGGTTACCTGTTAACTAGTAGGTAGTTGAGTCCACTATGCCAGACAGAGGACACAGTGGAGGTTACCTGTTAACTAGTAGGTAGTTGAGTACCAGACAGAGGACACAGTGGAGGTTACCTGTTAACTAGTAGGTAGTTGAGTACCAGACAGAGGACCGACGGTACAGTGGAGGTTACCTGTTAACTAGTAGGTAGTTGAGTACCAGACAGAGGACCGACGGTACAGTGGAGGTTACCTGTTAACTAGTAGGTAGTTGACTACCAGACAGAGGACACAGTGGAGGTTACCTGTTAACTAGTAGGTAGTTGAGTACCAGACAGAGGACCCAGTGGAGGTTACCTGTTAACTAGTAGGTAGTTGAGAACCAGACAGAGGACCGACGGTACAGTGGAGGTTACCTGTTAACTAGTAGGTAGTTGAGAACCAGACAGAGGACCGACGGTACAGTGGAGGCTATGGCCAGATAGCTCTCAAAGTAGTCCTGTCAAGGCCAGAGGGAAACGTTTCCATGTTAGTCATTTAGCAGACGCTCTTATCCAGAGCTACTTACAGTTAGTGCGTTCATCAGTCCTTTCCACTCACAGCCCGTATACGGGTTGAAAAGGGCAGATTTGGGCACTGATAAACGCCTAAATTGGAACACAGTGGCTGTGCAGTAACATGCTATACATGACCTCAGATCACAGTGGCTGGACAGTAACATGCTATACATGACGTCAGAGCTCAGTGGCTGTACAATAACATGCTATACATGATGACATCAGAGCTCAGTGGCTGTGCAGTAACATGCTATACATGACGTCAGAGCTCAGTGGCTGTACAATAACATGCTATACATGATGACATCAGAGCTCAGTGGCTGTGCAGTAACATGCTATACATGATGACATCAGAGCTCAGTGGCTGTACAGTAACATGCTATACATGACGTCAGAGCTCAGTGGCTGTACAGTAACATGCTATACATGATGACATCAGAGCTCAGTGGCTGTGCAGTAACATGCTATACATGATGTCAGAGCTCAGTGGCTATACAGTAACATGCTATACATGACGTCAGAGCTCAGTGGCTGTACAGTAACATGCTATACATGACGTCAGAGCTCAGTGGCTGTACAGTAACATGCTATACATGACGTCAGAGCTCAGTGGCTGTACAGTAACATGCTATACATGACGTCAGAGCTCAGTGGCTGGACAGTAACATGCTATACATGACCTCAGATCACAGTGGCTGGACAGTAACATGCTATACATGACGTCAGAGCTCAGTGGCTGTACAATAACATGCTATACATGATGACATCAGAGCTCAGTGGCTGTGCAGTAACATGCTATACATGACGTCAGAGCTCAGTGGCTGTACAATAACATGCTATACATGATGACATCAGAGCTCAGTGGCTGTGCAGTAACATGCTATACATGATGACATCAGAGCTCAGTGGCTGTACAGTAACATGCTATACATGACGTCAGAGCTCAGTGGCTGTACAGTAACATGCTATACATGATGACATCAGAGCTCAGTGGCTGTGCAGTAACATGCTATACATGATGTCAGAGCTCAGTGGCTATACAGTAACATGCTATACATGACGTCAGAGCTCAGTGGCTGTACAGTAACATGCTATACATGACGTCAGAGCTCAGTGGCTGTACAGTAACATGCTATACATGACGTCAGATCACAGTGGCTGGACAGTAACATGCTATACATGACGTCAGAGCTCAGTGGCTGGACAGTAATATGCTATACATGACGTCAGGTTCTCCGTTTGATGTGTTATAACCTGGGTTGTCCTGAACAGAATGAGCCCGTTTGTCGTATTGTGGAGACAATTAGCAGGGGAAACACGCACCTGAATGCACTCACGTCTCCTTTCTATGCTCACCAAAATTACAATCTGTTTGTCTGAAGTGCCTTTTGGAAAGCCTAACACTGTAATATCGTATTTTATAACTTAGCTAGCCACGTCGGCAATATAATAATCTTTCAAATGACGCCCACCTGACCCAGATTGCGATTCATAAAATGGTTGTTGCTTTGGATCTGTGTGACGAGTGAAAGAACACTCTGTTCCAATTCCTACAGCTGTCATAAGATGAATGCAGTAGACACAAAAACACGCACACACACCACTTCACCAACTCACGCTAAGATCTGAGCGAGGCTCCTCTCCGTGACCGGTAGGATCGGTGTTATTACTCAGCTTGTAGGTCCAGTAGTGTTTGGCTGTGATGAAAAAGTTCCAGGGCAGCAAGGAGCCGATGCCCAACAGGAAGAAGACCATGTACACCATACAGTAGGAGTCTCCTGGACAGTGGCGGGAGGCTAAGGGCCGCCCAGTGGCCCCCGGGGGTCCTGCATGGTGCTGCTTGGGCAGGAGAGGGGCCCTGTCTATCTACAACGTAAGGAAGTGGATATGTTACGGTAGATGTGGGGAAAGGCCTAAAAGTTAGCATTGGGTTAGTATACCATTTGAAAATAAGACAAGTTTTAATATACAGTACCAGTCAAAAGTTTGGACACCTACTCATTCAAGGGTTTTTCTTTATTTTTACTATTTTCTACATTGTAGAATAATAGTGAAGACATCAAAACTATGAAATAACGCATATGGAATCATGTAGTAACCAAAAATGCGTTAAACAAATAAAAAAAATTTTTTAAATTGTCCTTTGGTCTGGAGTCGAAATTTGAGATTTTTGGTTCCACTACACACACAATATAATGTCAAGACCTTTTTGATTTCTGCCTTTCTAAATGAAATGTTGTTATGTCCGCACCTTAGCACACACGCACCCCCTCACACACGCAGCCACACACACACACACACATCCATCCACACACACATCCATCCACACACACATCCATCCACACACACACACATCACAACTGCTGCTACCAGACTCTTATTATGATTGCTAAAAAGTGCACAATTTAATCCCCCCTTCCCCAAAAACACGTGTACATATTGGACTATAAATTGTGCCTTCCTGTATTTTACTGATGCTAAAATGTTTCTTCTATTCTACGGAGACATTTACTTTATGTTGGTCTTCTTCTCTTGTATTAGTTCTTATTGTTCTTGCATTGTCTGGAAGGAACCTGCAGTCAGCATTTAGTTGGGTGGTGTTTACCATGTGTAAACAACTAATACAACTTGAAACTTGAACACACACACACACACACACACACACACACACACACAAGGTCATTCTTAGGACACATTCACCCCCTCTATCTGCTGTAGTTAGTCTACCGTAGCTTTGTGCGCGTCCAGAGCAACTCCTAGTGATGAGAATGTCGAAACACGACTAATAAAACGTGAAACTCGTTGATGTTGTTTACCTCATCAGGGCCCAGTCCCTCGGTCTCCTCGTCAGACATAGGGGAGGAGTGGATGGGAGGAGCTGCCCAGTAGGTGGAGTTCACACTGGCCTGTAGAGACTCTGTACCATCAGCCATAATCACACACAGGGAGAGGGGGAGGAGGAGGGAGGAGGAGGAGGGAGGGAGAGGAGGAGGGAGGGAGAGGGGGGGGAGGGAGGGAGAAAGGGGAGGAGGAGGGAGGGAGGGGGAGGAGGAGGAGGGAGGGGAGAAAGGGGAGGAGGAAGGAGGGAGAGGGGGAGGAGGAGGAGGGAGGGAGAGGAGGGAGGGAGAGGGGGAGGAGAGGGAGGGAGAGGAGGGAGGGAGAGGGAGAGGAGGAGGGAGGGAGTGAGGGGAGGAAGAGGGAGGGAGAGGGGGGAGGAGGGAGGGAGAGGGAGAGGAGGAGGGAGGGAGTGAGGGAGGGAGAAAGGAAAGAGGGACAGGAGGGGGAGACTGGGAGAGAGAAGGACAGAGAGGGGGAGGAAAGTAGAGACAGTGAGGTGCTTCTCCAGGGGTGTGTAGGACTGCTCTACCCAAGGTTGAGGGCCATAGTGTGGGGGAGAGACTCAGGCAACACTGGGGATCAGGCCCGTATGGGCAGTCAGGCTACAGCACCTACAGACGGAGGAAGGAGAGAGAGCTCACAGTAATGCTTTTGACCAACGACCATGACAGTCGTAGTATTGATATAATAGTCCTGTTATCTGTACCATTTAACAGGGACACACAAACATCCTCCACGCTTATAACAGCTGTTTAGGATGACCGTGACCCCTGACATCAGCACATGACCCACAACACTATCACTCAGATACTTATAGATGTGTGTGTGTCTGTCTGTCTGTCTGTCTGTCGGTCTGTCTTTCTTTAACACCGTGGTAAAAGGATGTCACAGACAGTTGGGTAAGAGGTGCTCTGAGAGAGCATTAGACAATAGATGCCTGTGTTTCACTTAAGAGTGGAATGCAAAAACTACCTCTCCTCCCTAGTTGAGACAGTCTACCTCTGTGTCTACATAGACCTAACATCACTGTTAACTGTTAACGACAGTCCTGACTTCTACCACAGTTGGAATGTTTTATCTGTCCTTGACTGGATCAAAAAAATAAAGGCAAGAAAGTCACACACTATGCATGGTGGGAATCCAGCGAACTTCTGGAAAGTAGTCAGATCTCTGAAACAAACCCCCCCCCTAAGATCTGGAAAGCAGTACATGTCCTCCCCCTACATAAAGGAGGAGATCCTTCTGGCGTGGATAACTACCGTCCAATTTCCAAGTTATGTTGCCTTTCCAACGTTTTAAGAATCCCTGGCCAACTCTCAGCTAAGAACTTTAACATCTCACTCTATTCTTTAAAATGTGCCCCAGTCTGGGTTTTAGACCTGGACACAGCACAGTTTTCGGCTGCTACGCTTGTTCTATATGATGTGTTAAAATTGCTTCGATTATAAAAACATTGTTCTGCGTTACTTATAGACCTTTCCAGGGCCTTGGACGCTGTTGACCGTTTACATTCTCATTCACAGGCTGACTGAAATAGGCCGGGATCAGGCTTCTTGCAAGTGGTTTGAGAATTCTCTGTCAGATCAGACACAAAAAAAGGTGTACCGCAGGGGTCTGCCTTAGGACCTGTTCTCTTTACTATTTATATAAATAATATTGGTCTATCGGTTAAAACTTGTAATATTCATCTGTATGCAGACGGTACTGTTATGAATGCCATTGACGCAACTGTAGACCAGGCGTTGCTATAACTGCAAATCTGACTTTGTTGCCTTACAAAATGCCATTGTTGGTTTAAAACTTGTACTTAATGTGGGCAAGAATAAATATATGTTATTCTCACAAAAATGTTTCAGATGGATTACATATTTATTCATTGGATGGTTCTCCCATCGATCGGGTTCCCGCCTATAAATATCTGGGATTTTGGATTAACATTTTAGTCATTTAGCAGACGCTCTTATCCAGAGTGACTTACAGTTGTGAGTGGATACATTTGTCCCGTACTGGTTCCCAGTGAGAATCGAACCCACAACCCCTGGCGTTGCAAGCACCATGCTCTACCAACTGAGCCACACGGGACAAAGATAAGGTAAATCAGCTTTTAGCTTGAAAGCACCTCATTGCCGGAACCAACTACAAAATACATTACAGTTGGATGTTCTGGTGCCGCTCGGGCAATTAAAAATATTGATTGGGGACCTTCTTATTGAGGAATGTAACTGTTCTTCTTGAATATTTGTGTTTTGCTGTATTTTATATAGTATTTGATTTTTGAAAATTGAATATACACTGCCAGTCAAAAGTTTGGACACACCTACTCATTCCAGGGTATTTTTTAACTATTTTCTACATAGTAGAATAATAGTGAAGACATCAAAACTATGAAATAACACATATGGAATCATGTAGTAACCAAAAGTGTTAAACAAATCAAAATATATTTTATATTTGAGATTCTTCAAATAGCCACACTTTGCCTTGATGACAGCTTTGCACACTCTTGGCATTCTCTCAACCAGCTTCACCTGGAATGCTTTTCCAACAGTCTTGAAGGAGTTCCCACATATGCTGAGCACTTGTTGGCTGCTTTTCCTTCACTCTGTGGTCCGACTCATCCCAAACCATCTCAATTGGGTTAAGGTCAGGGTATTGTGGAGGCCAGGTCATTTGATGCAGCACTCAATCACTCTCCTTCTTGGTAAATTAGCCCTTACACAGCCTGGAGGTGTGTTGGGTCATTGTCTTGTTGAAAAACAAATGATAGTCCCACTAAGCCCAAACCAGATGGGATGGCGAATCGCTGCAGAATGCTGTGGTAGCCATGCTGGTTAAGTGTGCCTTGAATTCTAAATACATCACAGACAGTGTCACCAGCAAAGCACCCCCACACCATAACACCTCCTCCTCCATGCTTTACGGTGGGAAATACACATGTGGAGATCATCCGTTCACCCACACCGCGTCTCACAAAGCCACGGCAGTTGGAACCAAAAATCTCAAATTTCGACTCCAGACCAAAGGACAAATTTCCACCGGTCTAATGTCCATTGCTCGTGTTTCTTGGCCCAAGCAAGTCTCTTCTTATTGGTGTCCTTTAGTAATGGTTTCTTTGCAGCAATTTGACCATTAAGGCCTGATTCACAGTCTCCTCTGAACAGTTGATGTTGAGATGTGTCTGTTACTTGAACTCTGAAGCATTTATTTGGGCTGCAAATTCTGAAGCTGGTAACTCTAATGAACTTAGAGGTAGCTCTGGGTCTTCCAATCCTGTGGCGGTCCTCATGAGAGCCAGTTTCATCATAGCGCTTGATGGTTTTTGTGACTGCACTTGAAGAAACGTTCAAAGTTCTTGAAATGTTCCGTATTGACTGAACTTCATGTCTTAAAGTAATGATGGACTGTTGTTTCTCTTTGCTTATTTGAGCTGTTCTTGCCATAATATGGACTTGGTCTTTTACCAAATAGGGCTATCTTCTATATACCCCCTCTACCTTGTCACAACACAACTGATTGGCTCAAACGCATTAAGAAGGAAATAAATTCCACAAATTAACTTTTAAGAAGGTACACCTGTTAATTGAAATGCATTCAAGGTGACTACCTCATGAAGCTGGTTGAGAGAATGCCAAGAGTGTGCAAAGCTTGTCATCAAGGCAAAGGGTGGCTATTTGAAGAATCTCAAATATAAAATACATTTTGATTTGTTTAACATTTTTTTGGTTACTATATGGAATATGTGTTATTTCATAGTTGTGATGTCTTCACTATTATTCTACAATGTAAAAAAAATTAGTAAAAATAAAGAAAAACCCTTGAATGAGTAGGTGTGTCCAAACGTTTGACTGGTACTGTATAGGGCTGCCTTGCGAAAGAGACCCTGTTCTCAATGGTGACTCCATGCTTAAATAAAAAGGTACAATACAAATAAATGAACCAACAATTTAATGGGGTAAACCTAGACAATGTTTTGCCATGCAGGGTGTCCTTGACTCAGATGTTCGGGGGTGGGGGATTATTATTTTTTGGGCCGCACTACAGACGGCTATATCAGTCCGCTAATACAGGACTATTAATTTTGTATGTATATATATATTCTTACTTCTGATTTCTCAGGGGGCCCCTACTTCCCGTGGCTATGCCATGACTGTGAGTCTGTCCCCGTGTCCTTGACTGTGACAGACCCACTAGGATGACACCGGTCCATTTAAAATGAATACAGCCAGCCTACAGTGGGGGGAGTTTATGAAAACGTAATCTCTCGTTGACAGACTACGGAAACATAACTGTGCATCTGACCAAATTACGCAAACTTTCAGTTCTGGGTTAACCGAGATGAAAACGTGACCAGACAGACCACATGAAGCCACAATACTTGTTCCTGTGAACCAATGCCACTCATATAGTTATAGGTGTGATGTGATTAAATAAGGTCTTCCTTTCTGCTATTTTATTGCACAACAGGAGTAACCATCACTCCAACATTGGCCGGGATTCAATCCCACCGCGTTTTGTCGGTTGTGCAGTTTTGCAACCTCTTTTGGGTGAGCCAGTCAAAACAGAGAGGACTATAGGATTGTGAAGTGCTGATCTTGCATCCGTAAGTATCACGTGTTGGCCTCACGACTTTAATTCTACTTCTGTGGTTTGCACAACTGCTGCGGAACGACGATGACTAGACTAGACTAAATCACAATCACGTCAAACCGAGATTGACTAAATCTGAAACGAGTTTAGTGGCTACATTTGGCAACGCATCTACCCCAAACACAATAATCATTCAACCGGTTCATCTGCCTTTCCACACTGCAGCAGCAATCTAGTAACCTTTATACACTCCCTGCATCATTCATTTGATTGAATCTATGGTACAACGTATCAAACGGATAACTGTATGGAACAGATATCTAGGAACGTTCAGAATACACGATCACTCAACCAACCAATGTGTAGGTGTGTACTCAAAACAGATACACACCTTATCGATATTCATATACCATCAGATACTCACCTACTATTCGACGCGTGTCAGCATGAGAAAGAAAGCACACATTAGCTGATGTTGGTGGCTTTGGCGAG